ATATGGGTAAAGGACCTTTCCCCTTCGTCGCATTTGGAATGGACACTCTGTGTCACAGTGCTAGTATAACGGGAACATCCAGTGAGGTAATGATAATAGCAGTTAATTAGGTCAAATTGTTAAGAATTAATGATTTAATAGATATTGATCAGGCATAGTTAACAGTTCAAGATCATTCTGCATCTTTGGAGACAAGGTTCTAGATTTTGATTTGTAGTCAGCCTGCAATTGGCTGAAAATCGATTTGTACATAATAATTATAGAACCGAAATGAAACACTTACATAACAATAGAATATACTTGTTAAACGATTTAACTATACTAATTTATCTACAATAGTGTGCAAAACTTAAGCAAAAAAATGATTTTTTAACATACAACCAAAAATTTGTTAGAAAGGGCTTTTTGCAATCAGCACAATGAAAAGCCAAATCAGTAGAAAGATGATTCATAGGGTTTATGAGCACCATGACATCAGAGGGTATGTCAGGGCACGCAAAATACGAGAAGCCAGCGCAGGCACTGCAAGGCAACTGAGGAAGAAAGGAAGGCGCATTTCTAGGCATTCTTCTGTAAGTGAAAGTGAGATTGTACGCCGCCCAAGATTTTGAAACTGTTTCACAAGTTTGGAAAAATCCTTACAAACGACTAGTACATCTGTAAGATAGGTTGATCGTGCTGGCAAGGGGGAAAAACTATGTCTAATGAGCGATATATCTCCTTTCAAACGAAAAGAGATCGTAACCAGACAGCGGGCAACATTTCTCTACAGTTGCTCTCAGCAACGGACGACCAAGTATATCGATTTATTGTAGTTGAAGCAGCCCATTGAAAGCAGCCTTATTGGCGACACCGTTTACAACAGAAGACATAAAGTAGAAACACAAAGACTGAAAAACTTCATCAATGGAGACATGCTTTCTTTACCTATGAGAGTCGTTTCAGTGTGACAAATGATTCTCGACGCCAGTTGATATGGAGTGAGGTAGAACACGCTTCCCTCCCACTAACATCAGGAAAAAATGACTGTTGGGGTGGCCCTGGAGTGCTTGTATGTGGAGGTATTATGATGATCGGAAGGATAGTTATCCAGTTATCTTCCTTCACGCTTGTTTGTTCGGGGTCCTATTGATCCCGTCCGCTTTTATGGATGATAATGCACAACAATATAGGACTCATGATGTTCAGAAGTCCAGGAAAGTGAAGGTTTCCATAGAATGGCTTGGCCAATATGCTTCCCTGATTTAAAGTCCATTGATCCCCTCCAAAGAACAAAATACAACTGAAATAGATGCTCTTCGAAGAGTGGGCACTCTTTATAAGTATATTATCTTTTAATTAACTCTAATTTAAAATTGAATAACTGCGTATATTGCTGTGGTTAATGCATTATTTTATACTCTGAGGTGACAATTATGATGGGATACCTTCTAATACCATGTCGGATCTCCTTCTGTCAGACGAAGTGCAGCAACTTGACGTGACATTTACTGAACAAGTCGTTGGAAGTACCCTGCAGAAATATTGAGCCATATTTGCTTGCCTCTATGGAAGTCCATAGCTGCGAAAGTGTTGCAGGTGAAGAAATTTTTGCATGAACTGACTTCTAGATTATAATCCATAAATGTTCGATGGGATTCACGTCGGAAGATCTAGGTGGCCAAATCATTCGTTGGAAGTGTCCAGAATGTTTTTCAAACCAGTAGCGAACAGTTGTGGCCCAGTGACAAGCGCATTTTCATCCATAAAAATTCCATCGTTGCTTGGGTATGTGAAGCCCATGAAAGGCTGCAAAAGGCCTTCAGGTAGCTTAACATAATCATTCCAGTCAATGGTCAAGCTAACATCGTCATTTAACTATTTTATCATTCTTTTCATAATCAGTTTAAATGTCACTTTCTTTTCGGCCACTAAAGAGGAGGAAGAAGAAAACTCTTTTACATTTTTTATGTAATATTTATATACATATTTGTACTGAAATATTATTTCTCCTTTTTGGAAGGCAACCATTGCAGTTGAGGAAGGTCATATCCTTTACTAAGGCTCTTTGATTTGTTGTTCTTCCTCTTGGCTAGACAATTTTTATAACAACGCCATTCTGTGAATAAAGCGTTTTCCTCTTCATTCCCTATTAATGTTTTTGTTACTATACTTAAGCATCATATTAATGCTTTTGCTGCTATACTTTCCTCATTTGTTGAGCACTATATTGTGCCTCCGTAGTATTGAGCACTACACTGGGTCTCTGTAGTATGATTTTCATATCTTCCAACTGGTGTTTTGCGCAGTCACGGCAAAAATCATATAAACTACTCAATTACTAGGGTATTTTATACACTCATGTCCATAAATTAAGGATAATTCGGAGTTACGCGGAAATCGAACTCTAAAATAAATATATATCACCTAAATCATCATTACACACATCTTCAATAATCATATGCAAATTTCAGGAAGTAACCAGATGACACTGATGGTACGTCACAATGACGAGAGTGTAAGAGAGGGATATATAAGGAATGCAGGCAAAGAAGTAAAATTGTTCGCAGGCGCTTTATAAACATTTCAGTGCAATAACCGAATAGCTAGGACACAAAGAACGCATTTGGATGATTTTTTACGTGGTAGAATTATCGGCCGTCTGGAATGTGGGTGTACCCAACTGGAAGTCTCAGACGAACTTGGAGTTGCCCAGAGTGTCATCTACAGGCTTTGGCAACGATTCCAAGATGATGGTAATGTGAGTAGACGTTACAGCACAGGTCACCCCAGAGTTACAACGCCGAATGAGGAGCGGTATTTGGCAGTTACTGCCAAAAGAAACAGGTATAGCACAGCCTCAGACCTGTCTCGTCAGCTCTCTTCAGCCACTGGTACGACAATTTCAAGGCAGACCGTGTACAGACGCTTAGGGCAGATTGGTCTATATGCTCGTAGACCTGACAGATGCGTTCCACTTACTGCAACTCACTCTCGCCTGCGGTTAGCCTGGAGTAGAGAGCATGCATTGTGGACACCGCAACAGTGGGCTATGTTTTTCGACGAGTCCAGGTTTAGCTTGCAGTCTGATTCTCGCCGGACTTTCATATGGAGAGCTACAGGTACCCGTTACCACCAAGAAAACATCATTGAACGACACCGTTACGTTGGTGCAGGAGTGCTCGTTTGGGGTGGAATTATTCTGGGTTCCAGAACTGATGTGCATGTTCAAATTAGAACCATGACAAGCCAAATCTATCGGGACATCATTCTGAAACAACATGTACATTTGTTTCGGGGCGCCATGGGCGCACAGTTTGTGTTTATGGATGGCAACACCCGACCTCACCGTGCAAACATCGTAAGCGAATGCCTTCAATCGGAGGATATCACCCGTATGGACTGGCCAGCATTCTCACCGGACTTGAATGCAGTAGAGCACGTGTGGGACATGCTTGGCCGACGAGTTGCAGCCCTTCAACCTCTTCCTACATGTCTACCGGAACTTCGGAGAGCATTGCTTTTTGAGTGGTGTAATACCTCCCAAGATGAGATCGATAATTTGATACTCAGTATGCCTAGGCGTTGTACGGACTGTATTGCATCGTCTTGGAGACATACAATGTATTAACAATAATACCAACCATGTAATATTGGTTTTTTGTAAATAGGTGTTTTTTGTAATTTGCTCCAGGGAGAAAAAATCGCTATTTTTTTTAATAATATCAAACATATAGCATCTTTTTTTTTGCTCTTTACCTTTTGTTTAATAAATAAGCTTTACAAATAAGTCAAATTTGTTTTGCTTCTAACTCTTCCTTTGCCTGATTTTGCATTATCCTTAATTTATGGACATGAGTGTAAAATAATTGCTAATACATATATACTTACATGTTTGTTTATGCAATGTTTCCTAAATGTATACAAGGTGTGACGAAAAAAAAAAAAAAAAGTCTCATCCAATAAATTATTGTACTTACAGAATCAGTTCTTCGTGACATTATCACCTTCACAGTAGTTCCCTTCAGCATTTACGAATTTTTGCTTTCGGTGCTGCCGTTGCTGGTAACAGTTCTGGAACGAGGGTTTTGGAAGGCCCTTCAGGATATTCTCCGTTTTTGCCTGAATCTCTTCAGCTGATGTAAAATAGGTTCCCTTTAACTAAGATTTCACTTGAGGAAATAAAAAAAGTCGCATGGAGCCAAATCAGGTGAATAAGGAGGATGCCCCATCACTGTAATGTTTTCGCTGATCAGAAACTGCTTGACAGATAGGACCGTGTGAGCGGGTGCATTGTCCTGGTGCAACAGCCATCCATCACTCCACAACTGTTGCCTTATTTTCCTAATTTTTTCATGAAGTCTTTTTAGTACTTCAATGTAGTAGTATTGATTAACAGTCTGATCACTGGGAACCCCTTCAATCATGATGAACGTGCTGGGCACGCAAGGGCGCGCGCCCAGCACGTTCATCATCTTCCACACCGTCCCTTCCCCCTAAAAATCACTTATGCCATTCAAACATACATGTATGAGACAAAGTTTCATCTCCATAAGCCTCGGTTGACATTTGAAATTTTCCCTCCGTGTCTGATGTCTTAAGTTTCACAAGAAACTTGATGTTGATCCGGTGCTCGTTTTTCACATTAGATATTTTTCCCGGAGAATGCAGTTGCACGTGTTCACTCAATGACGCAGTACTCCCCACTGGTGTCGTCGGTAAAGTCGAAACTGGCCTCATGGATAGAGGAGGTGTGTGGCATGACGTCACCAAAACAGTTGCTGCCAACTCCCCTCCCTTTTCAAGCTACATACTACTTAGTCTCATTTTTTTCTTTTGTGTCCCACCTCGTATAATTTGAATCATAAAAATTTTAGACTTGAACATTTGTTCGGATCTTTTTTAGTATATAAATACTGATTGTATACTTTAATTATGTTTTTATTTTATATTGCATTGCTGAAAATACGTGTAAAATACTTTTCAATTGGTAAATAGTGTATATATGCACATGATTTCAGGGTGATCTCATATGCTGCCTACAAAACTGATTATCGGACAAAAGTGAAAAGCTATGAAGTGTGCTGCAGTGGTTATATTGAATATCGTGGCACTTGCATTCGTACGTAACTTCATCTCATAATTAAAAAAAGTTCTTTTCAATATTATGATAAACTGTTCTGAAATATTGCTCTTCAGAGTAAGTGTAATGTGTTTGTCATATTCGTTATATATACACATGCAAAATTTCTTTCTCAATAGCAGCCGTTAATGATACTTACGTGTTAGCTCAAAGAAAAGTGGTTAGTTGCCGAGCAGTTTTGGCACCGTAAAGCAACTTAATCGCTATCGTAACGGTATGGCGTCGCTAAGTTTAAAAACGACTGTAAGCCACAGCAAACAATGCAGGTGATGCTACTAGTTTCTTACCTTGTATGACAGAGTAACCATCAATGTTCGAAACACATGAAATCTGTGGGAATGGGAGTCGGCGATTGGTTTGCAGCAAATAGAATGTCACTTGTTATGCCACTTGAAATTGAAAGTTTGCATAGAAGAACTACACATGGCTGATCCTACTGTTATAGACTGGAACAATTATTTGAGAGAAATATGCGTCTATTACAAGGGGTGATCAAATGAAAAGGTACGAAACGACACGGTGGGTACAAATGTAGACTTTATTCAAAATATACACCATAGGCCTGAGCACAAGGATCCCACTGATGAACAAGTCGCAGGATTCCTTGTTCCCAGAATTCCTGTGGCTGTGACGAGACCCAGTCCTTCACAGCGTCCTTGAGTATGTCGTCCGAGTTGAAGCGCTTCCCTTTCAGGTGTTTCTTCAGTGGACCAAACACATGGAAATCGCAGGGCGACATGTCCGGATTGTAGGGCGGATGGTCGAAAGTCTCCCAATTGAACTTCCCAGTTCCATGTATGTGACTCTGGAGACGTGTGGACACGCGTTATCATGGAGCAGAACCACACCTCCGTGAGCAGCCCCGGTCTTTTGTTCTTGATGGACCTGCGTAGGAGTCGAAGTGTCTCAGAGTACACATCGGAGTTAATGGTTTTTCTGTGCTCCAGGAATTTCACAAGTAGCGGACCTTGAACGTCGAAAAAGACGGTGAGCAACACCTTACCTGCTGACGGCACGGCTTTGAACATTTTAGGGGAAGGTGACGACGCATGCTTCCACTGTATGCTGTCCCGTTTTTCTCTGGCTCGTAGTGATGGCACCAGGTTTCATCACCTGTGACGATCCGCTCCATGAAAGCGGAGTCTTCTTGATTACCAAAACAAATGTTGCCCCATACGCAGTTCCTTTTGCTGGTCGGTGAGCTGCTTCGGAGCCCAAGCGGCACACACCTTCCGATATCGCAACCTGTCGGGAACAATTGTCGACACGGTTCCATAGCTGACATCCACCTTCACCATTCGCAATGCTACATTTGTCACATTCGCAATGTGACACGCCGATCACTTCTCACTAGGTCGTCCACCTTGTCGAGATCGCTCGTGATGACAGTGTTTGTCTGGCCTGGTCTCGGATCATCACCCACACTCTTACGGCCTGCACGAAAACGGGCACTCCATTTTCTAACAGATTTGTCAGATACACATTTCTCCCCCTAAACTGTCCCCATCCGGCGATGAATAGCTGTCGGGTTCTCACCTTCCGCTGTCAGAAATCGGATAACATCTCGCTGCTCCTCAGCCGTCGAATTTTGCAACGCGAACGCCATCCTGTCCTCATACGGACTGCCGCATTATTTGGACGCCGCTTTTGATAAGAGCTCTGCTCTCTCCTGCGCATGCGGGCGCCCGCGCATGCTCTGATCCCAGTCAGAGATTCCAATCGCATCCCAAGATGTCTCGCTACGTTCTCCCATGGCAAAATATGCAAATATTTAACTGTTACGTTTTTACGTCGTTTCGTACCTTTTCATTTGATCACTCCTTGTAGATGCAGAGTTATAAAAAGTAACATTTGCAGCGGCTTGCCATCTCAGTGGATTTTCAGCGCTATTTGCGGGGAAGCTAAAGTAACCTTTCTTGTTACAATGCCTGATCGAAAAGGCCCTGACTTTGTTAAAAAAAAAAATAAAAAAAAATAAAAAAATAAAAAAAAAAAAAAAACTGAAAGTTTTCAGATTTTATACTACGCCCAAAGGGACTTTTTTTTTTTTTAACGTTTACCTCTGTTTATTAAACGTAATGTTCTTTGCACTTAAACCATAAAATTCAATTCAACAGCAATATCGCAAAATAATTTAAAAATGAGTAATCTTTAGACTTTCTGATACACAGGCTCACGGCGTTAGATGTAAAAATGTATTTTTTCCCAGTACAGTGTTGCCAGTGCTCGCTTTGAAATCGTTGAGTTTCTTAATCAAAAATTCATTAAAGTGTTATAAATATGAAATCGATAATAAACAAATTTCAAATTCCAAATTAGGGCTTCCAAATGCCCATATTCGGTGGAAGATTACGTTATTCAGAATTTGATGGCTCTAGGTACCGCTGTTTTATCCCAATGAGAGAAACATATGTGCATTTATGCAGATTCCTCATTATTTAATTTCTTTAAATATAACACAGGGCGATAATATTTGCTGGAAACAATTTGAAAAGTGAACCGACATTTATAGTGAACCAATGCAAAATGCTAAAATGAAATTAATACCCTTTCTGGGCTAACGCCGTTTGGGCTAAAAAAATAAGGGAGACAAACATTTATGATGGCACCTGGGATACCTTTAAAACAGAAGAAAAAACTGGTATAGACATTTTCAAAATGAACAAAAAATTCAATTTCGTGGATTCATGTTTCAGAGTTGATATGGAAATCATCGAGTGGGTATGGGGTTCCTCAAAATGACGGAACAAAGAAAATCATAAGAGTAGACCAAGGCAATTTGAATTCATACTTAGCAGAGTTCAAGTGTCGGCAGAAAGCTGTAGCTCAGGGTAAAATACCATTCGAAGCTATTTTACAAAGCGACTGTGAAAATATTTCCACCAGACATAATATATATATATATATATATAATATAATTATCAAATAACCGCCAAAGGCTAAAGTTAGCCAATTGCCTTTTTGTTAACGCATAAGTACTCTCTTAATATAGTCCGAATTTCCTTTTAGCCCAAAAAACTAAAAAGTTTGCCCAGAAGGGCTAATAACTTCGTTTTGGCATTTTGCGTCGAAAGCTTTAAATGTCCGTTTCACTTTTCAAATTGTTTCCACCAAATGTTATTGCCCTGTGTTATATTCAAAGGAGTTAAATAATGAAGAATCTGCATAAATGTATGTATGTTTCTCGCATTGTGATAAAACAGCTGTACCTAGAGCCATCAAATTTTGAATAACATACGTCTCCACCCGAATATGGGCATCTGGAAGCCCAAATTTGGAATCTGAAATTTGTTTTATTATCTATTTCATATTTTGTAAAGCATTTATGAGTTTTTGATCAAGAAACTCAACGATTTCAAAGCGAGCAATGGCAACACTATACGGGAAAATATTACCTCCAGCTCACGAGACTGTGTATTAGAAATTTTAAAGATATGCTTTTTTAAATATTTTGTGATATTGCTGTTGAATTGAATTTTATGGTTAAGTGCGAAGAACATGATATTTAATAAATAAAGTTAACACAAAAAACGTTAAAAAACGCCTTTTTGAGCATAATATAAATTCTGAAAGCTTTCAGATTTTTTTTATTACCTTTTTTTTTTCCCTTTTTTTTTCTGGTTGCTTTCTGATGAAATTCTTATTCATTCCCATAATAATCATTCAATTTTGCTTTGTAACGTTGACAAATCACAATTAATTTCAAATCAGATCGTAATCATGGGAACAATAGCATTTAAAAAAGTTTTTCTCCCTATATGTTTTTATATTAACTTTTATTCAAAATCTTCATTAAGCCTATTTGCACCAGCCTGATTATGTTTCGCTGTAGTACAGGTACGAAATAATTCTGATGACATTATTTCGAGGAGATTAGAACAGAAGGAAGGAATAATAAACAACTTCCATCACATGAAAATTAAAGCAATATTGGCAAATGGTGGGCATGTTGCTAAAGTAGAATCATCCTAGAAAAAGTAGAATGTGTATCTTTTAGTGGTTAAAGTTGTAATGTCCTTGGCTTCCATTATATATCAAAGACGTTTTTTGCTTAGATTCTCTTAACAGATAAGAATCTGACATTGGTAACTAGCATAATATCTTGATTATTCCTACAGAACGCTGAAATATAACCTACTTAACTAATCTTAGCAGACAAATTTGAGAAGTCAAACTTCTCAGTGTTAAAATGTTTCCAGACTCAAAGTTGAATGATTTAGATTACTGAATACTGAGAGTTCGAAAAGGGTACAAATCCAAGTGAAGGGGCAGATTGCGTAGATGGTTTTGTGGCTTTTCCCATGCGTAGCATAGTTATGACTCAGTTTCAGTTAGAAACTCCACGTACAAAGGTATCCCTTCTTTTAGACAGACAGTCCTGCAAGTATAATTCATTGTATCCAAATAGACAAAAAATAAATATGAACATGAATTGATTTATGCACATGTTAACAATGTTGCCCTATTTTTCAAAAGTATCACTCAGTTAATAGCCAATTTGTATTAAAGAATGCTGAGCCAAGCAATATGGCCGCTAGTGACTTCATTTTGCGTATGTTATATTCCTCTTAATATTATTATTTAGTATATTCGTAAAATGTTTTCAAATAGTTCCTTAAAACTTTATCTTGAAAAAAATTAATTTTTGTGTATTCAAAATGTAAATTTACCCATTATTATTTTAATGGGAACACTATTTTAGCGCAAAATACGAGTAACATAAAATTATACCGATCGTCTTCTAAATATCTGGCTCCACAGAAAAACGTTTCATTTAACACATTACATTACCTCACAGGAAAGCATCTTAAATATCTCGCTTACGGAAACAGCTTTATCTTGCAAATGTTAACCATTTTAGAAAAATACTAATTGTTTAGGAGAGCAATGATATTTTTCCAAAGTGTACTTTCAACGCTTGCATTTTGCTAAGATTATTAAAATGATTAATATGTATAATCCCAATTTAAATATATCTAAACACTTTGCATTAACTGCATTAGCAAATGCTTAAAAAAGTTATGTCAGTTTGAAAAAGCATAACTATTGCCTTAAATAATAAACCAGGTAATAGTTTTTTTTTATACTTTTTATTTTCAGCACGCGATTTTTTGAACATCTTATATCTTGTTTCAAGTTATGTATTCCCTACCATGTTAGGGAGAGTGTATACTATGGCTTAACGGTTACAAGTGAAGTAAGATGAACTTCGTTGCTTAACAATGAAATTTTACTATGTCACGGAAACTGGCATAAGGATTTTGTGTAAATGATCTAGCTTTACGCAAAGAGGGTTTAAAAGCAGACCAATCAGTGTGAATGTTCCCTAAGGGACCATTCATCCGACTGTATAGTCGTTATTATTGTTATATTCTATGACATGAATCTAAGGTTAAATTCTAGGGCATCAGTCTTAGACATATTTCTAAGACATAGTGAGATAGTTTTTAAGCATAAAATTCGTTAATACTGTTCACAGTTATGGAACAGGATTTAGGCCACAACCAGCCTGTGGAGGTAAAATCGCGCATGCGTAAATGTGCCCCTAACTCAGGGAAATTGTCCATGAGTGTCAGTTCGTGTTTCCTTCACTGGATATGGTCAGTTCTTATGCCAGGCTGGCATAATGGTGAACAATTAGAGCATTTAGACAATATCCTTAACCAATTTCTGAGGCATAGCTAGGTCTGGTTGCCTAAGAACGAATCGGCTTATGCCATTTGTGGCAGCAATGCCCTCATGTGAATGCTCTTAAGTTAAGTAATCGAGAATTAGGTTTGACGAAATTTAGATTCTAAGGCGCATATATCTTATCCAAAAGCACATAAGGCATTGACTTTAAGCAAAAGAGGCTGAGCTTTCAGGGGCATTAAAAATGAAAACTCGACAAAAAGAGCAGTGGAAAGACCAGAACATGTACTAAGGACTGTCACTTAAAGAGGCATTAAAGACATACAGTAATGTGAAAAACACCTTGCTGATAATTAGATTTTTGCAGATGAAATTAAAAATTTGATACTGTATTATACCTTTTCATATTTTGTTAAAAGCATTATAAATAATTTGGAACTTCTTTCTTGAGCATTTGTTTGAATGTTAATAATTTTAACAATAAAAGGTATGAACTGCTTTGCATTAAATACTGCATTTCGTCGATCCTAACATGCAATCGATTGTCAGATCGCTGCTCTTAATCCACCCATACAAAAATATTATAAACAAACAAAAACAAAACAAAAAAAAATCACTCATAAAGTGTTTGTTGCATCGAACAAATACTTTTAATTAAAATTTATTTTACTAGGAACAACATTACCTATTTATCAGTGAGCTATTTATCCTGCTAGCCTATTTATTAAGTGAGAAGTTTTATCTTCTTCCTAGATCAGAGTATGGTTTGGATTATTTGTCATATGTGTATATTAACTATTTAATTACTCGCAGTATTCTTTACTTCACATTCAGTATTTGATTCTTCTGATCACCATTATCCAATAACATAGCGTCTTGTGAGCAATCGAGAATATTCATGACGCAGCATTTTTCAGATCAAGAAACGCGAATAGCAACAAATAACTGAGTACAGGCGGCAAAGGGCAGGAAAATATGGAGAAATCTCTCACTCCAGTACACTTTCGATTCTAAGATAGTATACGTCGACTATACAGCATTTGTTGCATCTCAGAATAAAAAAAAAAATTCGCTAAGTCTTTCTAAAATTAATTATTGGATCAATCGAAGTTTTTCTTTTTCATTATAGCCAAGTGTACTAATGATTGTAAAAATGGAGGAACTTGCACTGGTCCCGAAAGATGCTCTTGCACGGCTGGATGGACTGGATTAACGTGTGAAACAGGTAATTTCTAGGCTAGTTCAATCGGTATAGTGTTATTCTCAAGTCAATTTTTCTTCTTGACCAACTAGAGGAAGCTTAAAAAAAAAGCTCGGAGAACGTAGATTAATACACATTTCTACTACTATTAATTTTACCAAGTTTTAAATCTGAGTAAATTTTTCAAAATGAATTTTATGTCTTTCTTCCTGATTAAATGAAAAATTATAAAGTTATGAATTTGTTGAAACAGCACAGCATATAAAAGTTTCCTAAAAATTTATAACTGTTTTCACACTTCTTAATCACAAGGTAAAAAATATCAGAAACTTACAGCCATAGCAATCTTATCACAATCTTCAATTTTGTGCCGTTTGATAAAACTTATGTACTTTAAGTGTCGGTTTCCATCTGTTTAGTTCTACAGTTTGCTGCACCAGTCGATGATACTTTGATATTCAAAATGTGGCTTGGGTTCTAATTCCTGATATGTTATGTACGTCTAAGGTGTCTTTCCCAGTTAATAAAGAGGTAATGTTAGTTCACATAATACTACGTAGCAGGGGCTGACTGCCATGTCAAATGGCTGAGGTTTGAATCTCTGATAAATTGAGGTGAGGGCATTGCTCCATTTTTCATGTCTCCTGCTTCGAAATAACCTAATGACTCTACAAGATGAATAGTTTTATTACATATTAACTACACTTCCCTGCAAAATTTACGGAACAAACATGCTTTGCTCAAGAGAAATGAAAAAAATAAAGAACAAGGAACGGCATTTAAAGTTTATGAGCAAGTGATAAAAGTATACATGACAGAAAAAATACCAATACTTGTTTAGCAATGCTTGTTACATAAATCTAAACGCAGGTGTTCCGTGTGCAGGTTGAAGGGAAAAGGTCATGTTACAAATTAATTTGGCAAGGTGATTTAAATGTAAATTGTAGGATTGTTCATTGCACATTAAATCAATTTTCCAGCAAACGTATAACGTCGAGGACATTAATTACAGGCCGTCAACTACAGTTTCTTCAAAGGACAATGTAATTGTTCCTTTGACTAGAAGACGGTGAAGCACAGCAGTGTCTCAGCTTCTTGCTGACCAGTTTACAGCTAAATTTGTTTTAGACAGCGCATGAGTATAAAAAAATGCTTCTGTGCTTAAACAAATGTAGCGAGAAGAGAATCCAGAAACATATTTTATAACAATATATGATATATGAAGTATAATTTTTTAATCTGATAGTACCGGTCTCCTGTAAATGACGCTATTTAAGCGAAAGGTTTATGCTTGAACTAATGTAAGCTATTCTATACCTGATATTAATCCTGCCTATCTGAATGATCAAAGGGAGAAGCTGAGAATTTTCTAAAGATTCAATATTGCCTCTCAACACAGTTTCCCACTCATAGTTTATAGTTCAACTAATAATTATCAACTTCAAGACACATTTCAGAATGAGCTTTGAAATCTACCATCTGATATTTAAAATGCTTTGGGAGAGCAGAATCGACTTCTCGAAGCAACCTTTCAGAAATCTCTTTAAATTGGCGCATAGTAAATCTTTCTTATCTCCTCCCCCCACATCAAGGAAACCTTAAGATGTTCATCCTTTTAGCACAGTTATTCCAAGTGAGTGAAGCAGAAGACAATGCACCTGAGCGCAAGAACATTAGGAGATTAGTCTCTAACTGCAGTGATGCACCAACTGCCTGCGTTGCACCAACTGCAGTGATGCACCAACTGCAGTGCCACCAATATTCGTCGTAACAAAAGTCAGACAAAATCATAAAACATTTGCACGGCAATAAAGCATCAGGACCAATTGATAAAAATAATAAAATTATAAACTAGCTAAATTCTGGCTTATGTAATAAACCCTTCTCTACTCCTCCAATTCGAAGTAACATGCTGGAACCTGAGGACATTTCCCGAGTCACTGGTACCGACAAAGTTAAAACCAATAATTAACCTCTAATATTGTTTCTTAAAGCCCAATATGTTCTATTACCAAGTTTAAGGAAATATTTGGAACATTTAATACTTATCCGCTTAAAGTATCATCCCCACAAGCTTAGTTCCTGAATATCAGGTAGTATGGGTTACTGGTTTTTATAGTTTCATCATTTCTATTAGATGTACACACAGCCTATAAATGTGTATACAAATTGCCTTTAGCGTTCCTGCTTTGAGCCTGTCTTGTGGAACTACGGGTGCTAGAGCTGCTACTAGATGATGGTGTGCCGTTGTAATATTCTAAATATTTCAGCTACAAAATGTACTTATTAACTTTAGCATATGAATTTTTATTTTATGTCTTTTTTGTGAGCTCGCGCAAGCGATACTAACTGCAAAAGAATTATATTAAAAGAGTTTTAGGAAAGATCTGTAGTAAAACATTGTAACTCTAAAGAATTATGTTCTTTTTTAGAGAGCACTAAGGTACTTTTTTCTCTTAGATACATACATACGGATAAGAGCATAACGGACTGATAAGAATCCGCGCATTTGCTGATCTGGGTCACCGAAGATTGGCTGAAACCAACCTAAGCTTATTTTAAGGTTTTGGATAACAGATACAAGCCAAAGGTTTCACTAAAAAAAAGTTCTCTTAAAACTGTGCACAATGGTCCACTAAAGTATAGTTTAGACATAAAGCTAAACTACAGAAGCATAAAAGTCATTTCAGTTCTGCAATACTTTGGAGTGTAAAATCTTAGTTACATGTCGGAAAATTAAAGGTACATCTGCAGAAAGTTATCATTCAGAAGGCAAACATCTTGTTACATTGCAGCATGTGCTACCGCTCTTGAGAAGCTGAAGTGAATTCAATATGAAGTTCTAACGAATTTCAAATTGTATTCACTAGATAAAGTGACTAGAAAAAGAGTTCTAACGAATTCACTAGATAAAGAGTTCTAACGAATGATGCTGAAGTAAATTTCTAACTTTTGTAGCATAACATGGGGAAAATAGACTTAATATATTACGAATATAGCATCAGTACTGGGTTAATGGGAAAAGATCTTACCTGAACAGTTGAGATGAAAGTCTTTGCTTCATAAGGACCCAAAATATTGTCACCAGAAACGAAAAAGCATTAATGCTCTAAAAAATTGCTGCCCATGAGAAGTAACTTAACAGTTTTATTCACGGCTAGTGACAGAAGATGAAACAAGGCTTTATCTCTGTGTCCTTGGAAATGAAGCAAGGGAGACAGTACAGTAGATCGCACCAATCCCAGAAGCGCAAAATCCAGAAATCTGCCAGCCAGCCTTTTGAAATGAAAAAGGGACATAACTTGTTGATTACAAACCATATTATATCAGGAAAATAGGTTATTATTATGATAACCTTTGATTGAACTCCTAGAAACCGTAAAGGTAACGGACCATACAAACTCAGCAAAAATATTTTGTTGCTTTTGTCACAACTCTCCAGACCACAATTCCCGATTTCTATTTAGCAATGTGGTTTAAAATTTTCCTTTATCCACCGCATTCACCACTGCTTCGAGTGATTTCTTTTTGTTTCAAAAATTGAAGCAACATATATGTTTTGAAGAATGATGCTTAGAGATGGTTTCAAGCCTGTGACAATTTTTTTTCCTGATGGAATTCGAAGTTTAATGGATCGCTGAGCTAAGTGCATTGAATTTAAGGGGAATTATGCAGAAAAATGAGAAAGTAGTTTTAGACATTTATTTTTATAAATGTTTTAATTTGAAAGAAAAGCTAAAGGATTTAAGCTAACTGTAATGTCAACATTCCGAGAAAGGGCATTTTTCAGAATTATGGGTGAAAAATTACAATATCCCATGACTCGTGGCAAGGCATCACTTAAAAAAATGACATTTATCAGGCAGCGAATAGGATTTATGCAGAGGTAATATAACGTAACGCAATGTGACACGAAAAAAAAAAAAAAAAAAAAAAAAAAAAAAAAAAAAAAAAAACTAGATTATATATATTTCTAGCATAAAAATGCAGCACGTGTTTTAGTTGTTGCATGTAGTATTAAGAGATACCTAAGCTTTTGTTTAAATTGATTTAGATAAGGGATAATACTGGCGGAAAGATTTAAAAATTTAATTAACTAAAACAATTTACTTTTTTCATATCCTAGAATGCCCTACTGGATTGTATGGCTTAAACTGTGCAATTGCTTGCGACTGCAAGAATGATGCTCTGTGCGATAGATTTTCAGGCGAATGCTATTGCAAGCCAGGTAAGTGGAGACAGGAAACGAATGCCAAAAGTATTTCAAATGCATATTAAGACTAACTTTATTAAAAAATTGCGCCTTTTTTTTCCTAATTTACTGTTGCACTGTTTACAACACTTTAAAAAATTATCTTTCCACAATTAAATAATAGTTTAAACAGTAGACATATATGGTTGGCGTTATCCATATACTCGTAGCTTTAAGACGCGTAGCAGTTTAAATTCTGAGGTAAAGCTAGAAATCGCTGATAACAGAATTAGATTAATTTACAAGTCCCCAAGTATTGGTTGTGAGTGTTATGAACAATGGATCCATCATCTGAAGGTATACATTGACACCTGAGGTAATTATATTCAAAATTACACAATAACTAAATTTTTAAAGGGGGGGAATAGCCGGCTATATGCATTTTTACTAAATAGAACCGATTTTCGGATGATTTTTATATATTTTCAATTCCATCATTTTAAAATGGTTCTACAACTAATGTTTCATGTAGGTTGGAAAGGTATTTACTGTGACGTTCCGTGTGAAAAAGGAAGGTATGGCTCATACTGCTTTAAAAAATGTGACTGTGTAAATGGTGGCGAGTGCAGTCCATTGGACGGTTCATGCAAATGTCCCGCAGGTTACCAAGGAAATAAGTAAGCATAAATTCTTTAATTTTAAGCAATTAATCAAGATTGTTAACCATACAATATTGGTATTTGAAATAGCAGGATGTTCGAAACTGTGTATAGGAATCATTGACTTACAGATAATTTTTGTTTTGCAGATGTTTGTAATATGGCATGTGTGTTTCTTGGAAAAATTTAAATATATACATATTAAAGTTATTTTCCATTCTTGCTGCATCAAGAAAATCAACAGTTAGACTTACAGTTAACATAATGAAATTTTAGACAGATGGTTGACTACACTGCAAACAGTTCTATTGTTTAGACATATATAATGAAAGCCAACAGGTACAGGTAGAAGCTAAGCCAGCACTTCGGTAGTACTACTATTGGTGATTGAAATTTTTCTGAACCCACCTAACTGTTAAGCTACCATCTCAATTTTCAGGGAGAACATCCGGAGGGCCAGTCCGAGGGTCTTCCATTCTTTTCCCCTACCATCTAGCTTCTCGCAATATAAAATCTGACAACATACCCAGATTTTTATTCTGATCTATGCGCATATATCTGGATTTAGCAAAATCTGTTAGAGATATGAGAGCGTTCAAATTCTTACACATCTAACAGCGTAATTACAAGATACGTTAGAAATATAAAGATTCAATAAAAGAACGAAACTATGTTACTGGAGAGCGTTTTGCTAGTAGAAAGCTAATGATTTGCCAATAAAATCATAGACAATCCATAGCAAAATATTGGCTCACCTTCTCAGGGAATAAAAACTCAAATATTCAAAAAGAACAAATTACAAATTCTAATGAACATTAAAAAAACAAAAATGTTAGCAAAGTCCCAAATGTGTAAAATGTAAATCATGATTAATTACATATGTGTTCTCAGTAACAAATCCTGAAGTAAAGTATCTTAAACTTCTGTTATTTATAAATTCTGTAAGCACGATGAATGATACTCCTAATAAAGAGGTTCTGCTTATAATATGAGCAAGATAATGGTAATATAAAAATAACACAGCCATTTTACGTGTGAGTAAAAATTAGCACGAGATTTGTTGCAGACAATAGACTCATTTTGTTACGTTTATTCGTGAAGTGTCATCCTCACTGATTTTTTGACATTAAAGTCACTTTGTTCAGACAAGGTATTATTTTAAAACACCAATTGACCTTAGAGTAATCACAAAAAACTTTCAGATGAGATAACTTTCAGATAGATAGATTTCAGATTCTTCATTTCTGTGCCCTCAGATTTATAGGATATTAACTAAAACAAGGATTTAAAGTAAAAATATCGTACGTATGTTACGTATGTTTCCATAGATCATTTTAGAGGAACAAAGCCTTGAATGCTGGATAAACATGGCGTTACAAAACTTATAACTCTGCGCTTTGTTTTATAAAACCTTAATAAATTCTCAATACACAGTTTATCTGTTGATTATCTACAACTGACTAAAGCTTAATCTGTTTCTTCTAAATTTCTGCCTCAATGATTGGCCTAAATTTTAACTCATACCATCAAATGAATCTTTTAAAACAAGCCCAGTAGAACATTGGGAAAAGAATGTGTGACTGCCCTATATTTATACAGGAAGTTCTGAAAGTATTCTCTCCTGATCTCGAGGCACGAGTGCTGATCAGACCACATATTCTGAAAAGCACTTGCGAGGATATCTGCGGGATGACCTGTGTAGTTGCGACAATGTTATTCTGGAGTGTGTGTAAGGGTTATTGCTATACATCTGTCCATTTAAGGCTCTCCACAAGAAAAATCACAGGGAAATAAATCGGAAGAACTAAGTGTTCGAAGTTGGTTTGTACCTTGACTGATGATACTTTCAGCCGGAAACGTTGACGCAATGCGGGTGATCGTCGCACATGCTGTGTATGCGGGGCTCCATCTTACTGAAAGTAAACGTTCTTTCCCTCATCTTCAGGCATTTATTCAACAAACGCATTAAATATATGACATAAAACGAATCGAGTTCACAGTATAATGGAAAACCATATGGATGATGCGGCCAGAAGGCATCGCACACCAAATACCGAGTTTTTGAGCATGCAATGGAATCTCCATGAAGACGGGTTGATTGCCACCTAGCCATTGTCCATGCTCTGAAAGTTTATGCAGACTGACGGATGGAACCATGCTTCATGGAAAATGAAGAGGTAATCATCCCGTAACACCTCCGCAGCAATATAGGATGGAAACCACTCCAGAACTGCACGTAAGTTGCCTCATTCACTTCGCGCAATTGATGCATCACGATAAATTTGTATACTCTCAAATTCTACTCCAGAATACGCATAGCGGTTGACCAGGGCACCTGTAACTGTTGTGTCAAGAAAATTTCTGTTAATGTTATTTATTCAATTTAGTAATAAAATAGAAAATAATTTCTCAGTAACTTGCTATATTGATGGCATGAAAATTAATGGCAAAATTAATTTCTCATTTATTGACTTTTGGAAATGGTCCATCAATTTGGGCACTTTCAATTTAGAATTCGAGATGAATGCGCGGTTTTTTTATAGCTGAACTTTTGTGCTTAAACTTCACTGTCAAATAGATCACTGAACAAAACAGTCCTGTTTCACACTCATTTGCACCGATTCTCTTTCATCCTTGGAGACCCTAAAATTGGTTTCTTCCTGTACTAAAATTATAGTCGAAATTCAAAGACAGAAACCTGAAAGATAAAAACCTTTCTGTTGCTTCTGCATTTGTTCGTGAGCATATGGGTATTGCTGAGAATGAACGGACCGATTTTCTTGCAAAGACTGAAACCAAACGCGAAACTGACATTTTTGTCAATATCCCTTAACTTTTTTATAAGAAGGTCATGAATGAAAGTATTGTGGAGTCATGGAACCAGGAATACATTAGCTTAAATAAAGGAAGCTTAACTCAGAGATTTGTACTTTTTATCAAAATGTGATTGGCATTATTAATCCTATTTTTACAAGTTATAAAATTTCCCAATTCCTTACTGGCGATGGAAACATTAAAAGACTTTTTTTTTAATATTTTTTAATGTTTAATATCTGTTTAATGTATTAATATATATTTTTAATAATTTAATTAATATTTATATATTTGCATATTATATTATTTATTTAATAACTTAACATATATTTTAATACGTATTAATATAATTATATAATATAAAATAATTTATATATATATATATATATATTTTAAACTTTTTATTTTATTTGAGCAGATTTCAATTGGGTCTAGAAACTTTTTATGATTGCAGCATCGGTTGCGAGGAATATGTTGAACATGTACTTTTTCTGTGTTACAAATCTGACAGCAAAAGAAAGACTTTAAAACTGGCAATGAAAAATATTAATATTAACTCGCCTCCAGATTTTAACCAGTTAATTTCAGACAGAACAACCTTTGACTATGTTTATAAATTCATTTTAAATTATTATAATTCTTCACAATTTCTTTTGAAAAATTTTCCTCTACTGTTAGTTATTTGTACATTTGTACCGAGTATCGTACTTACTTCTTAAACCTCATGTGATACTTTGTAGAACAGGGAAATTGTTCGTGTTTTTAACAATAATTTATAAAATACACCGAGATGATTTTCGTGGACTGTGCACTTAGCTGCGTCGCACCTCTGCTTCAGAGCGGAGAGTCTTTGGACATACTTTTGGCCTATTCAAAACAGATCTGGTTTCCCGGCATTTTGCAATTAGTTTTTGCTTCACTTACATGGCGGAGGACCTTTTCTGCAAATCCATCTACCGCGAACTTCATAGTTAATAAATCTGCACACTGTTTCTAAGAACCGGGGCATGTATACGTCTCGACAGCAAAATATGCTACTACACTGTTAACACCAAGCTAATCCTTTCACGGAGGAAGGAATAATCTTTCTTCTTCTTTGGACTCATATAACCACACTTAACAAATTTCCTCCCCGCTCATCTTCATTCAACTGACCTACGCGTCACCATCGAGATAGATAAGGCCTGCGCGCTGAGTTACTACGTCACTGCTAGGGGACCGGTCTTCGCTCAGTTTAGCTTCCTTGCTAAACACCCGTTTTTCTAAACCTATTCTATGAAATTGGTATCTCATACTATAAAATCAGTCTAAAACAAAATTACAGGCGACAATATAATGTTTTACAAAGCTTATACGAATATGAAATATTTTCATTTTCTTTTGTTGGTATTTATTTTCAAAACAAAATTATTTGAGAATGGTGTGGTGCTTTTAAAAGCAAATCATTTCTTTGAAGGAAAAATTGGTTTTAAAATTCAAGTAGCAAAAATTTTTACTTTGATTTTTCTGCACTGTCTTTGTGTCTCTCGTTGATTCTCACCACCGCATCAAATTTTTTTGTTTCACCCACTACTTTTAACAAATGTTTGCCAGTGCGAACACATATTATCTCTCATTCTATAATTATTGCATATTTTTATATCTATCATATTAATGTAGCAGGATTATAAAACATCAAACGAATGCAAGAGACTACTTAATATTTAGACTAACATTTAAATGCCTTATATCATTCCGAAAATTTTTCTGAATGTAATAAATTACTAAATAGTCTATTCTTAAAATATTTCTTACTTACATATTGTATGTTAATCTGTATTACAGTTAATGTTTTCCTCTTAATGCTACATAATTATTCGACAGAATCTGTAGTTAAATTGAGATAATGTTTATTACATAGCTCTGAAGATTATCAATACTAAAATTCTAAATAAGACAGGAAAAAAGTTTTTTAAATAAACTTATACACAATTTTTTTGAAAATATTTTTAAAATATTTGTAATACTTAAAAAAATTTTAGAAACTGAAATTTCTTGCAAATATTTACATTATACCTATTTAACTATAAGCGTTACGTCTGTTCTGAAAATATCTTTTCTATTAATATCCACATGAAAAGAAAATATAAATCCTAACATCATGTTCAAAACTTTTCTGTATAATGTAAGCAATTTTTTTAACTTACCTTACATAGCTTTTGGTGGTGCCACGTACTCAAATTAAAGATTGTAATTTAAAAGATAATTAGAAAAAATTGTTTTTAAAATTGCATTGAATTTAAATACAATGAAAACAAGTATGTCTACATATGAATTCAATTACTACTGCTTCTTCAAAAACTGTACATTTTAAAAATTTCATTTTGCATTTTCGCAGTTTAATTACCTTAATATGAATCTTACATACATTACTTCAGAAACTTTTCTATCATTCTCAGAAAGATTTATATTGCATAACAAATTTTAAACAAACTGATTGCACAATAATAACATACATAAAAGTGAACAGAAGCTATATTAGCTAAATATATGCATTTAAGTTTCATCATGATAAAATGATATTTAATGATTTGCAAAAAACATTGATATTTAAATTTAAGAACACAGTACTCTGTCAAGAATCAAATTTACTCTGCATTTGATATTCTACATATTATGTAATGAAATAATTGTCCTGCTTTTACCCCTTAGGACAGTTATTTCATATAAAATTAGTTTCCAATTAAAATAAATAATCATAAATTTTGCTGACAATTTTTATATTACTAGTGTTAGTAATTATTACAAGGGTCATTATTTTGCTTCAGATGTCAAAAGTAAACATAAATTCATTTCTTAAAACATAATGAATAAAAAATTACAACTTATAAAAGCTAACAAAAAGTTTGCTGAGGGTCCCTTAACCGTGACGTCACAAGCCAGTTTCGATTCAGAGCGCAGGCCTTATCTATCTCGATGGTGACGACCTACGCCCCTCAAGTTCACTGGGCACTTCCCTCACTCTCTTTACATAGGTTATTGTTTATATTATATTTACTCAATCGCTCACTCTTCTTTTATTCATTCATTTTTAAAAAGTCTCACACTGTATTAACTAATTTTTTATATGTTATATCCATAATATGTCACTTTTTCTTATCCAATTAAACAAAAGCCATTTTTTTCACACTTTCCTCGGAAGACTGGCTTGCAAATCTTGACGATCGATTTGAAAATACGTAAGTACCAAGTAGAACTGCTTATTAATACGTCGATTTAACAACCACAGAAGCTAAAAATTTAACAGAAACTAAAACCTACTATTTGCGGATAATCAAACCACACTTTCAGATTGAATCAAATACAAAGTACAAAATTAAGCCCCTAGCCTAAACTTTGACTTCCCTCATACTATTCGTGAAGCAATTTTGGCTAGCAGATACTTACTTAGATAAATTAAACCGAAAAAAGCAGGAAAACTAAAACAAAGGACCGATCAGCCTGTGCTCAAAAGCTTAGAAGCTAGAAGCTTATTTATGTTGCTTTAACTACTTTACATTCTGATAGAAGTAATAGTATAACTAAACTAATAAGATACCTTGATTAACTGAAATGAAACCTTGTTTAGTTTTTCATGAGCCTGTTATATTTTTATATTAGTTTAATATTCTGATATTAAACTAATATAAAAATATAAAAATATAACACCTGTTATATTTTTATATTAGTTCTATTACATATCTTGATGAATGGAGTCCAGTTACTTCATAATCGCAATCTCTATTGTCACATTCGGCGATACTTTAAATATTCTTCATAGAAGAATTAGTCCCTTTCTCATTTCCGATCTGAAGTAGAAGCATATTCAATTTTTTCTGGCATTTCCCCAAATGGGTTTTAAAACCTTCCCCTCAGTTCGGCTTATTTTTGGCCAGCTACTTGAAACGAATTAAATCGGTTACAAAAACTCAATTTTTAGTCTACTTCTTTAACTGTAGTAAATGATATCATATGTTGCCTTTAATTCTATATTCTACTATAAACATAATGGAATATTTCGTAGTTCTCATATGCCTGGATGACGGATGCAGTGTTAAAAGATATAAACTCCAGCTAAATGTTTTCCAAACAAACTGAATATAAAAGTTTTGTGATGCTATAGATTTAGAAGAATTTGTTTGTTAACTTAGCTTGACTCAACATCGACCTCTTTGATCGAATTTTGAAAATTTACTTTTGAATCTCATAAAAGACTGTGGCTAGAGTCAGAAAATTTATCAATGCTATAGCTGAGATTTCAATTTCTTCATATTTTAATTATATTTGTTGAAAAAATCTCTAGTTTTATCTATAACTCATGTAACTAGTTTTATTATCTATAACTCTATCTCTTGGGTCCATGTCTGCCACTATCAATACAAAAGGTTATTCCGTCATTTAATCAAGAAATTTAGTTAATGTCTTTTCAAAATGCATTTAAATACTTAATATATTTTTTATAAATACCATTATCCCTCTCTCAGAATTCTGTTCACATATCCCACAAATTAACCCTTGATTTAGAAATATTAATATTTTAATCTGCGGTGACTTTATTGCAAAAATTAAAATTCGGAATTTAAGAACTAAATGTATACGAAGTGAAAAGTATCAGAAACTTATAATTTCTTTGCTTAATAATAGATGTCAGGACGAATGTCCTCCTGGCTCCTGGGGACTTAACTGTTCTCAGACGTGCTTGTGTCAAAATGGAGCCACTTGTCTTCCTATTTCTGGACAATGTTTGTGTACTGCAGGTAAGACATTCAGATATAAGTATTTTAACGGTGTTTCTTCTCAATTACACAATCACAATCTAATGTAATGGAAGTTTACTATTTCTACTAGCAGCTTTCGTTATTCTTATTACAAAACGAACAAAAGGTAAAACATTTTGCATACAGGTTTGTTGTAGTTTAACGGTCAATAAACCTAGCCGGTTATTCGGAGATTTCATGTTCCACTGTTGTAGAGCATAGTGAATTTCTTCAGATTTTTAATTCCCAAACTCTTCTGTTCTTTATATCTGAGTATCCGAAATAAAAATGGCGATCAAGCTAGATCAGCTAGAAAATTGGAACTAGCCGAACCGACTAGAATGCGATAAGAAAATATAGAAAAGGTAACATAGAAATCTATAGAATATACGCTATGTTCATGAAAGTACTTACGCGACCTTTATTTCCTTTATTTATAAGTGTTTTAAATAATACAAAGAGTCATGTTTTCGTATGTTTAAATTTAAAACAATTAATTTTGTATAAAATACGAAAGCTAAGTTTTTACACATTCCTACTTTTTCCACTAAATATAGAAAATAAAACAGACAACTTTGACTCCCAGGCGATGAAAATTGACTGAGATATTCAATTACAAAATTTGTCACATATGAAGTCATTTTGAATTTGCATTGAGGGATCAGTTAATAAATAAATTAGAATAATTTGAGATTTATTTTCCTTCTTTAAATGCCACTGATAATATTCTTAATGTCTTTATATATAATTTTGTTGTATTTTGTGTGCCAAAATGATTTTTACTCTGAAAAGGTAATTTATAAATTTCGAAGTCTGAAAATACATTGTTAATATTCTCATGAAGTTCTATTACTTTAAAATCATAATCTGGTAATCGTAAAAAAATCCTCAAAGTACAAATATTTTTCTTTTCTGATTAATGAACATAATAGCACGAGTTATGACCCTATAGCGAATATATATATATATATATATATATATATATATATATATGGAATGGTATCGTTCACAACAATCAGAAAGCTTGCAGGAGACAGACGATTGCTCCATTAAGACGATGACGCCATTAACATGAAAAACTGTGTTCTGTGTATAAGACGTTAATTTCCTTACTCCTGTAAGTACTTACTTCTTTCCGTCTACGAATGCAATTATTTCACAGAGTGTAATAACTATTCGTGTTTTCATCACATATTCAAGTTATTTATAAATCGGACTAATTTATTCAAGCCCCTAGACAACCAGCTATAAAGTAAATTCACAGGCATCAAACACAGTAGGCACCGATTCCATATATATATATATATATATATATATATATATATGTATATATATATATATATATATATATATGAAGCTGCGTGAAGCTGGGTGGTCATACCGAGCAATAGGCCGCCACCTGCAGCATACAGACTCTGCTGTGCAAAGATGTTGGCAGAAATGGTTGCTACAAGGAAATTGCTGACGAAACGAAGGCTTTGGAAGGCAAGGAGCACAAATGCGAGGCAAGATAGGATGATTGTTCGCCAGGCCCGAACCGCCCTAACGGTATCATTGTCGACTATTCAACGCACTACAGCAACGTCTATACCTTCCGTGGTTCCGTCTATACCTTCCGTCTATACCACCATCTCACGGCGCTTGTCAGTGGCCGGGTTACGTTCACAGAGGACTTTAAGACGTTTTCCTTTCACCCCATAACATCGGCGGAGCCGTGTGGAGGGGTGTCGCAGCCGATCATCGTGAGTGCCATCAGACTGGCATGGTATAGTGCTCGGCGATGAATCCCGCTTCACTCTTGAAGCAGATGATCACCGTGTTCGCGTCTGAAAAGGAAGGGGCCAGCGGTCCCAATCAGGTTTTGTTTTACAAAGGCATACAGCCATAACTCCTGGTGTGATGGCGTTGTTGTTGTTGTGGGCGCAGCCCCGACCCCCCTAGCCGATTCATATCAGCCATAAGGCCACAAAGGGGAAGGCCCGTCTAACACAAAACGAGGCAGCCACTGAGCCAGCCGTGCCCAAAAAGAAACACACAATTCTTAATTTTAAAATTCTTAATCTTAAAAAAAAAAAAAAAAAAAAAAAAAAACAGACAATTCTTAATTTTTAAAGCCATAAAATATCAAATGCTCCCGCGAAACCAGGCCCGGGCCCCGAGCAACAAAAACGGTAGAAAAATGAATCATAACAAACTAAAAAAAAAAAAAAAAAAAAAAAAAAAAAAAAAAAAAAAACTGATTCAAATGGTTGCAAGCCTTTTAAAATCTCTTTTAAAAACTCATAACACTCAATTTTAATTCTTCTAACTATTAATGCCCACAATACTTTTATTTTTATTTATCCCAGTCATAACATCTTGTGAAAATTTCAATAATTTATCATATTTCATTTGTGTTATATCTAATCCTGTTATTCCGTATTTTGCCCTCACCCCCACCGGGTAAGAGTACATATCTCAATGAAATGTTCCGCATCTCCAATAAGATCACATTTGACGCATCTATCGTTGCCCTGGAGGTGGAATCTCTTTAAGTATTGTGGAAATCTTCCATGACCTGTGATAAGTTGATTCACATCTATATTTGTATAGGTTTTAATTTTTCTATTTATTTTTCTATTTTATTGAATTTTCCCACATTTGATTCCATTGTTTATAATAGTAGTCTTTAATTTTTATAATCATTTTCCTTCTTGCCGGATTTATAGTATTGTAATCTGAACCATCCCCCAGGGCAGCCTCTTTAGCCAGTGTGTCCGCCCTCTCATTACCTAGGTGACCAATATGAGCTTTTATCCAATGTAATTTTATATAATGTCTGTCATTGGCCTCGCGATATAATGACTTTATTTCTTCCATCAAATTACTTTTTGGCCGGGCTAGAGAGCGCCGTTAAGACAGAAAGTGCATCCGAATAAATATGTATATAATATCTCTTTGTTAAATTTTTATCTACCCAGATCAACAATTCTTTTATAGCAGCTACTTCAGCCTGGTAAGCAGAATTAGTATCATTCGTTTTCAGTTTTATAGAATCTATTTCTAAGCCATGAAAGTAAACAGTATAAGCTGCACCGACGCCTCCCTCAAACCCAGGGCCATCTGTATAAATTTCTATTTCACCTATATTTGGTTCTTCACAATCAAAACCAACACCAAACACATTTCTCGGGTTAATATCAATAAAAATTGGATATTTAATATAATCTGTATAAATTTTAAAATCATCATATACATTAAAATCTTTTAGGCCGTTGCTCAATAAAAATTTATCATAGTAATATTGATAAAAAATCGAGAGAGGGGGCCCACCGGCTATAATGCATAGAACTTCTGTCGAGATAGTCCGAAAGGCCCTTGTAATAGCTAGTAGCCAGCATCTCTGCAAAAAGTCCAATTTCATTCTAAGTCTTATTAATTCCCTCGCCCGGAGAGCCCATGCACCAATACCATACGTAATCTTGGGTAAAATAACGTTCATATATATTTCTTTCAATATTTTACTTTTACTGATCAAAGTATTTGCTGTGAAGGTATTTATATAATATGTGAGAATTCTTTCAATATTTCTCTGTATTTCTTTAAAATGCGAAATAAAATTCATTTTTCTATCTAGTACTATTCCTAAATATTTAATTTCTTCTTTAAATTTTATATTTCTACCTTTGAATTTTAATCTAGGAGGTCTTATTTGTACACCTCCTCTTGGAAATAAAATGGCATTTGTCTTGTCTGGATTGAATTGTATTCTCTGTCTTTCACTCCAGTTGACAAAAAGTTCCTCCACCAAACAAAATCTTTTTTCTATCTTTTCTAATGATTGATCATAAACAATTACAAGATGGTGTGATGGTGTGAGGCGCTATTTCTTATAACAGCAGGTCATCTTTAGTCGTCCTCCGTACATCGTTAACAGCTCAACGACATGTTGATACCATCCTGCGGCCGGTTGCATTAAGCTGCATGGCACATCATCCTGGGGCCATTTTTCAACAAGATAATATCAGGCCACATACCTCTCGCATATCTCTGGACTGTCTCCGGGCGGTTGATACTCTTCCTTGGCAAGCAAGGTCACCAGACCTTTCACCAATCGAGCATGTCTGGGACATGGTAGGTCACCAGATTCGGACACCGCAAAATATCGTAGATCTGGAGCGACAACTGATGAATTCCTGGTAGAATGTATAGCAGGATGACATTAGAAAACTCTACCACTCCTTGCCTCGAAGAATTCAAGCGTGCATTGCCGCCAGGGGCGGTTCGACCAACTATTAATTTGAACAGATTATTTATAACTACTAATTTGAACAGGGAGATTGGGAGCCGTGAATAGATACTATGACTTTGATTTTTTAATCATTTTATTATCTGTGTATGAGCTCTACACATATTCAATTTCATAAAAAACAACCACTTCCTTCATGGTGCTTCGATTTTTCTTGCAAGAGTGTGTGTGTATATATATATATAGCAGGAATAAGCCGTTGACAAAACTGAATTGAAGAATTAACATCTTTATTTTTACATATCTCAAATCATCTCTTCGCAGACAAATTACTTTTCAATCATCGTTGAATACAATACATTTTCATTTAACAGGCAAAAAGATATACAATACATTTTTATGCATCAGGAAAAGGGATAAGACGTCATTTCAGGCAGGGAAACATAAGCAGCGTAGAGATATTTTGGCATGCTCGGAAGCTAGGAAAAAAGGAACGTAGTTCCTCGCAAAGCAGTATTTATACTGCGTAGGTGTATATGTGAATCTAAGCCGTAATTGGTTAATTTTAATTTTAGTTACCTTTTTCAAGCAGTGTTATGCAATTTGGAATGATCTCGAATTTGGGAGAACAGATGAATTTAGGGGGCGGCATCAAATCTAGAATAGTTAATTTTGAGGTTGCCAATTATTTCTTAACATAGCTATAGTATTTTATTATATCTTACACACACACACACACACACACACACATATATATATATCTTTGTAAGATAAAAGATATGTAATATTTTTATGTGAAATTTGTCGCTGTAGTTGATAATCCTTCTAACGAGAGATATCCTTCTGCTTTTATACTAATTGTAATCTCTATGGCAAAAAGTTCATCTTTTTATAACAAAATAACTTAACGATTTATAATCGATATATGTAGCAATGTATCGTAAGTTTCTCGTTATTTTCCAGCTTGACAATCAGCCGCTGTCATGGGATGTGAAACGTAATAATATCTCGTCTCTGGCATAAAAACCATTACTAATTTCCTAAATTTTAAACTTATAATTTATTCATCTCTCTATCTTTTGGTGTTTTTTATGCTTCCCACGTAATACAAGCATATATAAGAAATGAAATAAGTATTTTCAGTAAATAAAGTAGAGAGCAGAACATGCTTCTCAACCTATCTTCATCCCACCAGTGACCGAGTGGTTAAGACAGCAGTTCGACCTCGTTTGGATTAGATCCCTGGCGAAACGACTGCCTGAATGATGGCTTTTCATGGTTTTTCCCCATGTGTAACGTGAATACGGGTCAGTTTCTCACAGAAAGTCTTCCATGAAGGTATTCCTCCTTTTAGGCAGAATGCCCTGGTGGCTTTGTTATATTCAAGTAGATTAAACAAACCTAGCCTCAAACCATCTTCATCATATATAAATCAGGAATATAGGGCGTACATTATCGTGATATTTAAAGGAATGAGATACATTCCGCAGGAGAAGAAGAGGAAAAATTGTTCTGTTTGTTTATAGTATTAGTTACACATAAATCACGTGATTTCTGAGCTCATCTACATTGCTTGTTTATATTAGCTATACGTAAGTCACATGACCTCTGAGGTCATCGGAATGTATTTCATTGCCAATTTTTTTACCATGAATGCGAATAAATTTGTCTAATGTTTTTACACGATACTAAACTCACTGAATTTAGTAGAAGTAACTTGAAACAATGTCCATAGACTGGTTAAGTAAAAATACAAATCAGAACTAGAATAAACTAGAACTAGAATAAAATACTGAGAAATGTTTATTACACCATAAATATTATTTTCTTTAAAATTAGTGAAAAGGCGAAACTTTTAAATGTCACACTTTGGAAATATTGAATGAAATTGAAATAGTATAATTTGATATAAATTTACATTTATGCGTTTTACTAAAATGCATTTAAAAAATATCTGGTATCTCAAATAAGAAAGAGAAACATGATATCTTCTATATTTTTCAAATAAATCAAGTATATGGAATCATAGTGCAAATGGGATTCGTGTTGTTGTATTAATGTGCCATTCCACGGTCAGAGATTTAAAACAAGAAGGAAGTTATAACAGGACTGATTTGTTTCTAAAAGATGAACATTCAATCCAGCGGTATGGTTGGCTTGGATACCATTAAGGGAGACAAAAGAGGGGAATTCTCGAACGGTTAGTTTATTCAAATCTGATAAAAGGCGAAAGGGCTGCTTGCCTAAGGAAAGAGATGCTTTCATGGAGGGCTTCATGAAGAAAATTGGCTTGTATTTATGTTGCACATGGGAAAACTATGGAAACAAACATGCAGCCAACTCGCTCGCCTGAGATCGAACTCCGATTACCACAGTATTCAGTAGTATTAATCCACTCAGCCACTGGTGAGGCCAATTCTCTAATGGATAGAAAATATTCTTTCCAGGAAACATTAAATAAATCTCAGAAACAGAATTTTTTCCATGCTGCAAACGTTATTATAATTTCAGATAGAATCCAGCTGCTGATTATCTACGTATTGATATTAAACTCTGCGTTTGTCATAAATACACTTAACTGCTGTTTCTTTAATAACAACAGTAATTTTTTAAAAAAAGTTTTATTTTATTACTACGATAAATAAAACTACGGTAGTTTGATTGCAAAAGCATAACACATTTTAATTACTATAACTAAATATAGTTTAAAGAATAAGGATTTGAAACTTATCGATTTTACAGAAGTTTATTTGATAAAATCGATATTTATATATCGATTTTACAGAAGTTTATTTATTATTTGTAGGTTGGAAATCAGTTAGCTGTAATGTCCCTTGCGATAACGGAACATATGGGAAGGACTGCAAGCAGCAATGTGTCTGTGAAAATAATGCTTTATGCAGTTATATTGATGGTTCATGCAACTGCACTTCAGGTTATAAAGGAGAAAAGTAAGATTTACTCAAATGTAATATTTTCCTTTGGCTTCTTAAATTTAAATTTTCAAAATGTTATGTGTCATGTTTTGGATTTGTACAATGGTATCTTTAAAAAACGAGGATTTTTAGAATTAAATAAATTACTTCCAGTAAAAATTCAGTCAAAATTTATATTTATTTCATTCATTTCTCCATTCAGTGTCAATAGCTCATATATGAATGGCGATTCATAATTTTCCCCGGCGTTTCAAGGTTTTATGACACAATAACGATAATGAATGCAGCGAAAATGTGCGCAGAACGTAAAGAATCTCTTCAAGTCTGCATTCATAATACGTCCTATTTTGTAGCTGTAGGTTTAATCGCTAAGTGACTGTCATAATACTAAGTAGCAGTACAACGTAAACATGTTATTCGCTGACAAACACAGCGATTATGCGTCTTAATCTGGCTTCGTTTAGTGCGAATTGACTGTGATTGTAAAACGGAGATTTTGTTTCGAAGTATCAAACAGAAGCCCGTTTGGCAGTTCATATGTTGTACAAGTCAAGCAGTATGATTACATATGCGATGCAAAACGAACAGGATAGCGTTATTTGGTTACAACAAAGCATTCAACTCCTATTAGCTTGAGGGAAGGGATACCTTCATGGAGGAATTTTTAAGATATAACTTAAGAGGAGGCCAAAAATACACAGTAACTTTAAATTAAAGTTTCGTATTCACGTTACACTTAGGGAGACCACGACAATTCCCATACGACTACCATATTCGCCGGGATTTGAATCCGGCTCGCAAGCCGGCTAAAACTGACAAGCAAGGTCTCTTAAAATCTAAATTTTCAGTTATCCTGAAAAAGTATCTGAAACAGCTGATGCAGAATGACATATCTCATAACGATGTTATGTTCCCGGATTCATTGTGAAAATTTAGCTGTCAATATTCTGCAGGAAGGCAGTTTAAAATTGTTAAATATAGAGATATTTGGCGATTTCCCAAATTTTCAAACTGCAGTTTTCAAAATCTGAAAAGCTACGAAATCATCGATTCACGCATCGAAAATGGCGAAAGAAATGACAGAAAAGGCGAAAGACGCTTATTTTGATTGTCAACACACAATAGCCTAAAATTAAAGGATGACAAAAACTGATAAAAATTTAATCTTTAATAGTATAGATGAACTTCAGTAATTTGCTTAACACAGTCTGCATCATGATATCTGTGATAGAAGAGATTTTCGTAAATTTCTAGGGGTATTCATTTCTATTCATCTTCCACTATTTTCTAGAATCTTTCAAACGTGATGGGTTTGCGCTTAGAAAGAGCTCTTTTCCGGAGACCAGACAGATGAAACGGCAGGGGATTTTGCAGGAATATTTTGAAAAGGTATATATGCAATACACGTATAAGTCTTCATTTTTTCAAAGAAAGCAGTGGAACGTTTCGAAGAAAATCGGTTGCTTTGTCTTGATGAAGTTTCGCTCATTGAAAGTCACTGGGATAAAGCAAAGGAATTTCTTCTGTAAATATCGTCCGTAAAATTTTCTCTTGATAGTATGTTGAGTTGATTTTAACATTCTTTTCTCTCTTTTCTTATTTTTAATTTCTCATTATAATCCTTTGACAATCATAAACTCCTTACTGAAACTTTCTTTGCATTGACAGAATCAGGTTTATACATTTTTTCTCTTCTTTTCCGATAGTATATAAGACCATTCTTTGTTGCAGTCATTTAGGTAAACACATGCTTTATCAAGTGTATCTCCCTTTATCTTCATAGTGTATCTCCATTTATCTTCTGCTAAATAGCTTTTAAATAGGATTCTACAAATTGTTCTTCATTGAGCCATATGCTCGGGAAAAGTAGGCGAATATTATGATTTTTAGCTTTTTTAAGTAGTTAGTAGTCTTAGAAACAGTAACTGTATTCGTCTGAAATCTTCTTTCAATGTAAAATTAACGACTGACTGTCTTTCCCTTTACGATAAACAACATTGTTTAATTTGCACTTTGAAATTTTAATACCATGCATTTTCATAATGTTTTTGAATTATGGAATAGGATATTCTTTTTCGTAAAGAGTAGAAACATATCTTTCAATCCACAGCTTGTTTACATGCGATATTTTGAAATAAGAGTAAATTTAAAAGTAGCAACCGATATTTCTCATTTCAATAATAAGCTGTTGCCAGAAATTTTTATTCCAAATGATTTTCTTTTTCCTTAGTTCTTTATCGAAATCGTTTTATAAATGTGTAAACAATCTCTGCCTATTTCGGAAAAAAAATATTATTTCTTGGAGATTACATTTTTATTGAAAAACTGAAGAACTGAGTTTGAAAAAAGTTGAAATTACTGGACATAAAGCATACACAGAAGATTGAAAATGTTTCGCTCATTTAAGAGCGCGTAATGTTAAAAAGTTATAGCTTATTCGATACAAATAGGATGCTGAAAATAAACAACTTTAACTATATTTGGTATATTAACTATGTAGCATAGTTATGCCGAATTCTTTCAAGATGCCCTCCATTTGCAAGAAAACCTTATAATTAATTTTTTGGGGGGTATCTAGGAAATATTAGCAGCTATATTGTATTGTTATGTATTTCAAGATAAGCAGACTCATAGATTTTTGAGAAAATCTAGTTCACAGCTCGTTGTGAGACTTAAGTTTGAGTGTAACCGGGGATACCTAAACGAGCAACTGTAAAGTTAATACAAAACTTAGATGAATTTTTTCTGAATTTGTTATAATTTTTATACAGTAAACTTTTGAACCTTCGGAAGGAATTAAAAAGTTATCGTGCGTTCTCGGTACTTCTCTATTGCAACAGCCAGATTTTCAGAACATGCCATACTCTGGCAACTGCATGTATAATCATAATTGTAGGCAACCAATGTTCGTAAGAATCCTTTTGTCAAGCAACTTGACCATTTTCGTGTGAGCTATTTTTGCATTCTAAAGGTTTTATAAGCAAGTTCCAAAGGTTTTTGTAAACAAGTTCTAAAGCTTTTTATAAGCAAATCATGATATTTTTTACCTTAATTTTAAAATATTCGCTTTGGGAATTTGCCAGAAATGGAAGAAACTGGCAAAATTTCTGCAGTAATGTAGAATTTTGCAGCAAAATCTCTAAAAGGAACAACGAGGAAATATGTTAGGTAGACAGCTGGTATTGCTATGGATTGTGCGATGCCGAGTTTCTACAATCCATTGATAATTGTTTAAGCATAAATAGCTCTGTGTACTTGGAGAGATGAACAGCGCAAAAAAATTGCAGAAAGATTTGGAGAGATTTATTTTAATGCAAGTGTTTTATTTTTTAATGTGTCATAAAATATCTGTTTAATAATTAAAATTTATATTTTAAATTGCTAAAATATACATTTTTATATGTTGACAATGTTTGCCAACTTACGATAAATATCGATAGTTTGGGAATATTTTTTAAAAAAGTCGCAAAAACCGACAGCTTGCTCCTTATTAGTAACTTTTACTTTTTCATATGTAAAAAATTACCATATCGCTCCGGTAATATGTAAGTGCCATATTTTGTAAGTTTTCTGCATTTTGCTTTCGGGTAAAATCATTTAATAATTTATTGAGCTGTACGGACTTATACTAAATAATGATGCATCTCTTGATAATACGCTTTCAACACAGAATACAAATAATTTTACGATAAAACTACTCAGGATATGCATTAATTTTTGTAATTTGCTGAAGCCATATTAAAATATAAAACTCGAGAACTTACTCTTGAAAATATTTTTTTGTGGCTTATTGCTCATTATCATTAGCGTTCCAGAGTTTGTCAATAATACTCTGAAAATAATGATTCCATGTTACAGCTGTACTAATAATTATCTTTTTTAATTGCAAAATTCGCATTTTTGATGCGTATCCAATAGCTTTTTTTTAAAGAGTTTAAAAATTGATCTCTGTGAAAAATGGGATAGAAGTATAAAACACTTAAAACCATCGTTCACAATATTAATAGGTTTATCTTGATTTTAAAAATTTCTACTGAGTATCGTAAGACTCTGTCAGCATATACCACCAACAAGACACACAGAGTAAAATAGCCCAAAGGATGTTAACCTTTTCATCTCTCACTTCACAGGAGTTTTGATTTCCGCCTAAAGGCAAGAAAAAATTCATTACCGCAATGCCTAATAGATTATTTCTAATGTAACAAGATTATAACTACTTCAGTAGCACGACGTTTGTCATATAAAGCAAAAATTTCGATTTCAAGTGATAGAAAATTTTTGCGCATTTCCTTTATTTTCATGATGAATTTTTCTTGAACTTTCTACTAGACATAAATTAAGAAACTAATAATATCTTCATTTTTAAAGAAGCAAATATATCCAAATATATTCTTCACTGTTTTGTTGGTGACCGCCGAAAACACTACAGCAAAATCATCTAAAGCGAAAACATCGCAGAGAAATCTAAGCAAGGGAAAAACATCGTCCTACGAAACTTCAAAGCAAGAGGAAAGCATACTTGTAGAAAATAAGACTGTTCAAAAACTCCGCAGATTTAAAACATCGTCCTGGGAAAAGAGCGTGGTTAAAAAATAAAGCAAATACAATGTAGCATGGTAATAATATTGCAGACATGTATTTTCAGACCTTAAAAGCTTTAAATGCATGTTTAAACTACTAATCACACTTTATAAAACGATTACTACTAATACAAATTCATAAAAAAAACAATTAAGTGATGATATTGAATAACTAACTACATAAGCTCAAAGTTATACTAACATCATCTATACGTAGCTTTAATTTTCTTCTCATGTTCAATTTTTGAATGGTGAAGTTTACTTCTTGCTTTTTCAGTAAAAATTTATTAATTAATTCAAAAATGTGAAAAGTAGAGGCAAAAATATTTCTCTTTCTTTTTTCGGTCACATATTATTATGAGAAAACATGCACTTTAAAAATTTGAAGTCTAAAAATACGTATCTATTATGTTATTATCTTGCGATGATCTGTAAATACTTTATTTTTTATAATGTAATTTTTTACAACGATGAAATTTTTATGAAGTTTTTAAACCGCTTTATTTTCTAAGACGGTGGTTTATGCGAAGATGCTTTTTTGTCGCGACGTTTTCGTCCGCCATGCTTCGCTTGCAACAATTTGGCCAGTAATTATCATTTACAGTAGTTTGCATTTGTTTTCGTATACTTGTATTTTTGAAATTTATTTGTAAAGATCTTGTATAAAATATTAAAGCACGTACTTCATAATGTTTTTGTAATATATATATATATATATTTATATTTTAAGCCTTACTTGTAGTAAAATTAATTTCAGAAAAATAATCGTTGTAATAAAACAATTTCTTCAAAAAGTGTTAATCAGTACCTCAAGTAACAATGCAGAAATTCCAAATTTGTGTTGAAATGTTTGTGTTGACAATATTTCTTGTTATAATTTTTTGTTTTAAATGAAAATATATAACAAGAATTATCGTCTGTATTTGAAAATTCTAACTTGTTGAGCAAATTCCATTAACAATTCCATACCTGATGTGACATGGCAGAACGCAAAAAATTAGCGACCAATTCTACTATAAATTTAATAATTCATATTTTTAAAGATGGTAAAAGTATTCGGAATATCCACAAAATTTTTCATGTAAAAGCATTTAATATCTTTGATGTAATAAAATTATGGAAATTGTGTGGAACTGTTGAAAATTCACTGAACTCTGTACCATATACCAAACACGGCAGAATCTCCGATTTATTTTATGAAAAATCGAGACCCCCAAAATTAATACTGTAAAACGTTCAGCAGATGTAGAAGAACGGTTTGTAATAAAAGTTAACCTTGAAACTTTTAGAACAATCACTTAGGACACATGGATACAATAGGCGATCATCAAGAAGGAAATTCTTCATCAAGCATAGAAAACAAGGCCTGGCGTTCCCAGAATCAATAGTGAGGAAATCTTTATCATAATGGACAAATGTTATATTTGCAGAAAATGCAAAATTTAATATATTTTGTTTCATTAGATGAATTAATACGCAGCAAAATCAGAATTAAGAATTGAATTCTGAAACCCTATTGCTAATGTTATGCACGGGGGGGGGAGCAAAGGAATAATGGTTTGGGCATTTTTCGCTGCCTTTGAAATAGGAAATATGGTATTTAAAGAAAATAATACGGATTAGCATAAATATATAAATATTCTTAATGAAAACCTGACAGTATCTGCAAGAAAATTTGGAATGGAAATTATATTCAATTTCTATAGGATAACAGTCTTAATCAATACTGCCCTAAATGTTTACTCGTGATTATTACTTAACTGTCCAGAAGTTGTCAGATCATCTGCATATTTTTCAGACTTAAATTCTGCGCAAATAGTATGGATTGAGTTGGAGAAAATAATAAGGTTTCTTTTATTTAATTATGGCAAAGCACACTAGGGCTATCTGCCTAAGGGGAGTGATGCCTTCGTGAAGGATCTTCTAAGGGGAACTGGCTCGTATACACGTTACACATGGGGAAAACCACGAAAACCACCCATGCAGCCACCTCGTTCGCAGGATTCTAATCTCGGACCGAAATACCAGTGTTCAGCGACTTTACCGCTCAGCCGCTGGTGGGCCGAAAATAATAAGGAATCATGATATTTCTTCGAAAGCTCTATTAAAAACAATTCTTACTGAAAAACATAAGTGTCCGAAAACAAATATAAGTCATTGTATTAATATAACTGAATATAAATAATTAATGATAAAAGAAAAAATATAGTAGCATTTTTCTGCTACAGAAAAACACATGGTAACCTAATAAAAATCCTTTTTGAATGCAATAATAATAATAATTAAAGATATTAAGAATTCTGAACTATTTACGATCTCTTTTTGTATCTAGATGTGATGAAGTTTGCGATAATGGAAATTGGGGCTTTCAGTGTTCTCAACCATGCTTTTGCGAGAACAGTGCAGAATGTGATCCTGTAACAGGAACTTGTATATGTCCTCCTGGTAAGAATTTGAGACACATATTAAATAAATACCCTCTTCTTTTATAAGCAGAAACTGTTATGGCAAACTTTAGATTTTTTGGAGACAACTTATAAATAAATATTAAATTAACAATAAAAACGAATATAACTGTAGGCGCCTACTATTAAGGGCAAATTAAAATTTGTTTTATTCGTTTTCTCTGTGCGATTTTATTCAGTTTTACAGCTGTGAGTTTTCAATACTTACAAAGTCATGGAAACAGAACACAAAAATTTACTGAGCTACTTTTAGCTTGCAATAAATATTAGACTAGCTCTTTCAGACACAAGTAATTGTAACCAGCTTCTGTTAATGTCTTATTTCTACTTGTTCTGTTTGGGTTCTTTGTCCTTTTCTTCAGGTTTGAAAATATGTCTCTCTAAGATTTACAAAATCATGAAACCTGAAGCTATTCACTTCATATATTATAGCCTTTAACTTTCTTAGCGATAACTTAACAATACATATCATAGCTTTCGCATTATGTAAAAGTGTAGCCGTCTTCTGTTAACAGGTATTTAAACTTGTTCCGCATGTTGGGCTGTATTTTTACTTCCTTGTGCGAAGAAAGGAAGTATTGTAATCGCGAAAAATTTCGGGTATCATATTTCAAAGGAAATATCCATTTTGACCTATCCCGAATCCATTTGGACGTTTTTTGCCTGACATCTGTACGTACAGACTTGCACGGAGCCTCGACGGAGAGAACTCTCTTGCGTGCTGGTTAGGATCTGTAAATACGCAGCCTCGGCAACGGGGGTATAAAATCAGTCTTCACAGGACCACAACCATCGCTGGGGAGGGTAGGGTCAGGCCAGTACCTCCTACATATACATCCAGTACCTCCTACATTACTGGCATGTAGGGAGGTACTGGTCAGGCTCGGCAGGAATAATATGGTACTGTCTTGTCGGCTTTTCTGGCTGTGGTACTGCGCTACATGGTGGATATAATTAAGATGATATTCGGTGGTTTGGTTCCATTCAGTCCCCTCAAGGGGACTGACTTCATGTCAGTATCTACTTGTGATCACGGTATCATCTTGCAAATTTTGCAACCGGAGTGGTGGCCCGTGTCGCAGGGTGTCCTGGCGAATAAAAATCGACTAGACGAGGTATGAAGCCTGGAGTCGACTGCGAGGGCTGCGCCATTGTAGTTTGTCTCTCGGGAACTGTGCTATATCATGTAAAGGGCGCGAAATCACCTAGCTAATTATGTCTTTTTCTGAGTGTTGCTGTTCACGTACGGACAGAATAAAGGACTCGTTTTTCCAAAACGGATTGTAAAATGGATTTAAAAGGGATTAAAAGCGGATTTTTTTTTCGTGACATGTATGTATGTATATATCTTATCTTGCATAACTCAAAAGCGATTAGCCGTAGAATTTCAATGGCCGATTAGCCATTGAAATTTTGTATATGGGACTGCTATAATATGCAGTTATGCACCTACCTTTTTATTGCAATGTGCAGTACCAAACACACATATATATTTATACGTATAAACCCAGCCCCTTTATCCAGCTTAAAAGTCCTTACCCTGCCCTTATTTTCGCAATCGTTGATCGTAGTCATATACTTCCAGTTACAGAAGTTGTTTATATGACGAAAGTATTCATGTTTTGGCAATGTCAGATTTAAAAATAAATTAATTTTCGACAAATATCAAATTATAACTTTTAATGCTTTCTTCCGGTTCCTATAATTATATTTTGAAAAGTTTTATGCTCGTTACGAAAAAATAAAATCATTAGAAGTTTCACTCCCTTACGGCAGAAATTGACCGGGATATTTAATTTCAAAATTTGCTCTTTCTGAAGTCATTTTCAACTTGCCTTGAGGAATCGGTTAATTAAATTAGAATAATTCGAAAAATAAGTTTAATGAAGTGCAGCGAAAATGTATATAATTTAATAATCCAAGCAAAGAAGTCGTGCTGTGTCCACATCAAAGATTTTTTTATTAATAATTATGCGTTTTTATGTTTTTCAAATAATTGTTTTGTTGTAGCTTATCCCACTTGACTGATCTAATCAGAACAAGTCTGCCTACGAAATTTTAACGTGGCAAGGAGAGCAAGATAAAGGCAGAATAAAGAACTCTTCCTCCAAACGAATTATAAAAGTGAATTGAAATAGATTTAGAAGAGATTTTTTTCGTGGCGTCTTTGTTACTCGGCTCAATGAGCTCAGTTTTTTTATTCTTATATGTTAGCAAATTGTACATTTTTTGCTTTAAATATGATTGAATTATTTTATTCTTATCTTCCGGTTAAGATTTGTATGCCTTTAGTTAATCTGCATGCAATATTTGTAGAATTATCAACAATTTTAAAATTGTTTAGGGGCGACTAAGCCTGTTTCTTTTCACCATAGCAGCATGTTTACATCTGAAACTTAGCAGAATGGTGAATTTATACTGAAGGTGCAGAAAGCACCTTCAGTGAATTTTGCCGAGTGAGACCAAAAGAAAACTTTTAGTTTTGTGCCCCGGAAAATCTGTCTTCTCGCCTGCTTTTTGCGTAGTAACTGTAAATTCAATTGTAATTTTTTTAAAAAATTGTTTTAACTGTACTTGGTGTTTTATGATTTTCTATATCTTTCAATTTTTAATGAAAATACTTTTCTATGTATTTTTGCCTTTCCGCGAAGTGAGAACTGAATTAATTATAACGAGAAATATATCTCTAATGAAATTCGAAGAAATAAGTGTTTCGTGTGACCGCCAAATATAGTCGCCAGTCTGTCTCGGACAGAGAAGAATGTTTACGAGTAGACCATGCGCATTAGGTAAGCGGCGCCGAATCGTCTGTGAAAAACTGTTTCTTTTTAGCCCAAAGGGCGTTAGCCCAGAAGGGCTATTGATTTCGTTTTGGCATTTTGCGTCAAAAGCTTTAAATACCCTTTTCACTTCTCAGATTGTTTCCATCAAATATTATCGCCCTGTGTTATATTTAAAGAAATTAAATAATGAAGAATCTGCATAAATGTATGTATGTTTCTCGCATTGTGATAAAACAACGGTACCTAGTGCCATCAAATTTTGAATAACGTAATCCTCCACCGAATATGGGCATCTAGAAGCCCTAACTTGGAATTTGTTTTGCTATCGATTTCATATTCTGTAACACTTTAACGAATTTTTGATTAACAAACTCAACGATTTCAAAGTGAGCAATGGCAACCCTGTACGGGGAAAAAAAGACATTTTTACATCCAACGCCGCGAGCTGTGATCGGATTCTAAGAAACCAATAAATATTTGCAATATTGCTGATGAATTTATGGTTAAGGCAAAACATGGCTTTAAAAAGAGGTAAACAAAACGTTTAAAAAAAAAAAAAAAAAAAAAAAAAAATTCAAATTTCAAATTTGGTTTTTCCACATGCTCATATTCGTTGGAGGATTACGTTATTCAAAATTCGATGACTCTATGTACCGTTATTTTATGACAATGTGAGAAATATACATACATTTACGCAGATTTTCATTATTTAATTTCTTCAAATATAATGCAGGACTCTAACATTTTATGGCAACAGTTTGAAAAGTGAACCGACATTTATCCGTCCGACGCAAAATGCCAAAACGAAACTAATAGTCCTTCGGGATTCAAATCCCTTTGGACTAAAAAAAAAAAAAAAAAACTGAAATGTTTCAGATTTTAAATTACGTCCAAAGGGGCGTTTTTTTAACATTTTGTATGTTACCTTTCTTTATTAAATATCATGTTCCTCGCACTTAAACCATAAGATCCAGTGCAACAGCAATATCGCAAAATAGTTTTAAAACGAGCATATCTTTAGAATTTCCGATACAGAGACTCACGCGCTGGAGATAAAAATGTTTTTTCTGCACAACGTTGCCATTGCTCGCTTTGAAATCCTTGAGTTTGTTAATCAAAAATTCGTCAAAGTTTTAAAAAATAGGAAATCGATCATAAAACAAATTTCAAATTTCAAATTTGGTCTTCCACATGCTCATATTCGTTGGAGGATTACGTTATTCAAAATTCGATGACTCTATGTACCGTTATTTTATGACAATGTGAGAAATATATACATACATTTACGCAGATTTTCATTATTTAATTTCTTCAAATATAATGCAGGACTCTAACATTTTATGGCAACAGTTTGAAAAGTGAACCGACATTTATCCGTCCGACGCAAAATGCCAAAACGAAACTAATAGTCCTTCGGGATTCAAATCCCTTTGGACTAAAAGCCTTGCGTGTATAAATGAAAACTTTTTTTTTTTGATACGATTTTGATAGACGATTCACGAGCTTGCAACCGGATATATAATTCGCGCGCGAGACGTGTACCGATTCAAGATAGTAATCATTTAAAAATTTGCATATGTGGTGAATGATTTTTTTTAGTGCGAAGAACATGATATTTAATAAAGGTAACACACAAAACGTTAAAAAAAGCATTTGGGCATAATGTAAAATCTGAAAGCATTCAAGTTTTTTTTTTTTAAATTTGTTTAATTTCTTTTATATATCGTTTTAGATTTATTATAGTATTTGAATAGAACATGTGGCAACGATGAGATAATTATTCAGATAATACAATTTTTGAACATTCTGAGTTATAAAATAAATAAGATCTAATGCAGTTAAGTGAACCTAGCTCTAAAGTGTCGTATTGGTTACAAAATACAGTGAATTTTATTGCGGTTTATACGCTATCAACGAAGTAGATTTAATTCAATTCAGTAAAATTAAATGAAATGCAGGAAAAAGTGCGTATAATATTATTTTACGTACAAGGAAGTTATGTGGTGTACACATCAGCTTTTCTTTTTATTTTAAAAGTTTTTTTTTTAAATTTATGTTTTTACTTATCTGAATATTCCCCCTTCAATTTCTTTTGAAAATTTGCTATTTGTCCTGTTTCGTGTTAGGTTTTATAGGTCAAACCTGTGAAGGACGCTGTCCTTACGATACATTTGGTCCAGGATGCAATCGCTCCTGTTTCTGTTTCAACGGTGCTGAGTGCAATCCGTTTGATGGGAAATGTAAATGCCATCCTGGTTATAAAGGTGACTATTGCGAGGAAATGTGTGAGGTAGAATATTTTTCAGAATTTTTGCTACGTATTAATTTTCATGAGAACACTAAGGTACAAAGTGCAGTTTGGGTAACATTCGAATGGGTTTATTATTATTTTTTTAAATACATCTGCATATTCATGCATTTCATATAACCTTATGAGAATGTGTTTAAATCTATATTTATCATCATATTTTATCAAAACATTTTGTTTTAAAATGTTTCGTGGCTATTTTACAGATTAACTTACAAATAAAGTTTTCCGGTTTTTGTTTCTTAAATAAAAAAAAAAAAAAAAAAAAAAAAAAAAAAGAAGAACAACATTTAATATTAATTATTATTAAAAATGGCAGCAAGACAACATGAATTAGAGACCTCAATGGTCAAGAATTTTGCGCATTGAGCTGCAAATTTTTTTAAAAATGTTAGCAGTAATAGGAACATTTAAAATATTATGCTAAGAAATTCATTTGACTCTATAGTTCCTTAGCAAAAAAGGTAAAATCATTCAAAAACTAGAAACAATAACAAAGTAGTAAAAGCAAACTCATAAAAATTAAAGGTTAAGATTACAAGTCGAGACGACTTAAAAATCAAAAAAGGGTTTAGAAAAAATTGATAAATTTTAACGCTCTAAGGATTATAAAAGGACTGTTATAAAAATAAAACATATCACAAAAATACATATGATGTGAAAAAAAAATCACAACAAATGGTAAATAGCTTAACTCGAGGTTTGCGCCGGATTTATATACATGGAAAGAGGGAGAGAGATCAAAAACTATTAATGAAATTAATTTCATTATTAGTTTCATTCATTAAACTACAATGAAGTTAATTTGAATAATAATGAAAGGAATAAAACAGAATGTAAATCTACTAAATGTGGCCAGCTGCCTTACACATAGAGAGCACAAATAAAAAAAAACTTGAAGCATAAACTTGGATGTGAATTCTAATTTCTTTTTTCTTGGAAATCAGAATTAATTTCTAATTTTATACTTCATGTTGTTCCTTGATTTGTGCTTTTTTCATGTTCAATAGCTTGCCATGTTTTGTAGATTTATATTACATAATCTGTTTTTTTTTTAACTGAAAATTTTTACTGATCTTTATATGCCCTGCCTTATAATTTTTTTCATCTTTTCCCGTACATCATGAAAAACTATAAAATATGGCATTAAACGTCAGTAAAATAATTTAGAATACTCTGAAATCATCTCTAAATATTTATTCATTGAGGACAGAATAACTGGATTGAAATGTGTCATTGAAATGATTCGAATTAGATTTCATGTTTGAGGTGGTTGACTGAGTGTATACATAATGCATAAATTCCAAATCGAACACGTTTTTGCCCTAAAGCAGAGCTATATTTAAGTATCGATTATTTTATGTACATCTATCTATCTTGTGTCTAAATAAATGTACCAAATTTTGTGAAACCAAATTTTTGCTAATAGAAATTGTAAGGAAATACTGCAGTAGGTACAAAAACATTGGGTATAAATATTTAACTCAGTGTCTTATTATTTTTACAAAACAAATGAAGTCTATGAAATTTATTGAAACTAATAATATTGTTGCAATATCTTACAGAGATTAAGAGGTGTAGCTTCATTCCTGAGTTTATAAATGAAAATCAAACCTTTAACTCTTGGTAATATACATGGCTAATTCCGTTATCAGAGGCAACCTGCATCTGATTTGTTGAAATATCATGCAATCTACTTCTTTCAAAAACAGAAAAAGAAAAAAAAAAAAAAAATGCAGTAAGCTAACGAAATATTAATGACACTCTCTGATAATGTGTTCGGCCACTTTTAGATTTGAATGCACCCGATATTCTTCACAACGATCTTTTGGGCGAGATTCAATAAAGTGCTTATATTATCCCTGTGCATTATTAGTCATGTTGACATAACGGAAGCCCTAATTTTCCGAAAATTATATAGTGACATTTCTAAGCTTTTAAGTAATCTCTCTATTTCACCTTACAAATGCTAAATAAGATTGGGAATAAAAGACTAAACTGGGCATGTCAAAAAGTGCGAGAAGATACTGAAGTAACACATGATAATGAGAAATCCTTTTAGCCATGTAAAGCAACCCACTACTCTTCAGGGAAACACTGCCCAGGCTGTTAGCTACAAGAGTTACTATTAAGCAACAGGGCAGTTCGTTTTGTTGAAACCAGATTCTAGCCTTGTCATCTGCATCATGATGGGAAAGGAACAAGATAACTCGAATCAAGCAAATGTTTTCAATCTTTAAGAGGACCAATTCTGGTGCTGCTATGCCCACACCAACCGTGATTTCCTGTTTACTGTGACTGGTAATAGTATAGGCATTATTGAAAATCTCCCTACTGTTGCAGAGTCGCCTTATATTATTTATATCCTTATCGTTACCGTTACTTCTAACTAATTAATCAAGGTAAAACAAAAACTGCTTACCTTGTTTCAATGGGTTCTGCCAGGGCCATGGGTTGATGTCCTCTGTGCAACTCTATCTGCAAAATCTTGAGAGGAATAATCCATAAATGATTAATACTTTCGGTGCTACTTTGGTAGACGGTTGCTCAGATTTTGGCGAGTTTTTGACAATTTTTCTTTTGGCGAGTAATACAACTTATGGTAAACCCATTGCTGGATAAGTTATTTATGGTAACCGATACTTTGTTGACATTTTATTTAAAAAATAATGCTTGTTATTATGCATAAATTCCGTGTTTTAAATATTATTTATGGCTTCTAAATATTAAAAATCAATTAATTTATTTTGCATTTTTATTTGAAATAAAAATTTTTATTCTTTATCATATTTTATGAAATTTTACTGTGGATGATGTAATCATGACGACGTCACCTTACTTTAAAAGTAATTAGTTTTAATATCTATAAATTTAATCTAATGTTTTAAACATTATTTATGGCTGTTAAATATTAAAATACAATTTAATTTTGCATTTCTTTTTTAAAATGATTTTATTATGTATGATTATTTAAATAATTTTAATTCTAGGCGTGATGTAATCAGCTCTCTGATTGGTTTTAGAATATTTGTGCATTAATGAGCTGTAATCAGCTCCCTGATAGGTTGCTGAAAATTTGTGCATTACCGCGCCATTTTAAAATTTAATTCATATCTTCGAATTCCTTCAAAAATGTCTCCTTCAAAGATGAATGTTGTTTTTGATAAGTACCAAGAATTTTTGGTTTCGGAATCAAAAAATTGTCCTTTGAGACCTTATTTTCGCCAGCCTGGCTTTCCTAATCAAAGATTTATTTATAAATTCTTACGAGGGTCAGAGGAAATTTATTTTAAATTTTTTAAGTCGCTAATTGTTTCTTCAATGAAGTGCGAAAATGTAGATCACAGATGAAGACCGTTAGAAGAGCCGATTCTGAGATGGCCGTATATGATATTGTGGCCATGTTGGAAGAAATAACCGCTGTAACGGTAAGAAAATTATTAGACATTCCTCCTTTTTTACCGACAATAAACTAATTGCTGTCATTTTAGCTCTAGTGTACGAAGCGTTCTTATTTACTTATTTTAAAGTATTTAATTTAAGTAATATTTTAATTCTTTTAAACGTTGGTATGATGGTTTTTAATTCGATATTCAATTTACGTAATATTTTAATCCAATTAAACGTTTGCGCAATGTTTTTATAGTGGTATTTTTATTCTATTTCTATGCTATATGAAAGTAATAATTTAACCTTTCTTTAGTATTTTATACTCGCAGTAAATGTATTTATTCTATATAATATATATATATTATATTCTATATAACGTATTTTAAAGTATTTAAATTTAATAATATTCTAATTCTTTTAAATGTTGGATGATGTTTTTTTATTTCGATATTCAATTTCAGTAATATTTTAATCTAATTAAACGTTGGCACAATGTTTTTTATAGCGGTGTTTTTATTTTCTTCTTTGCTATATGAAAGTAATAATAACCTTACTTTAGTATTTTATATACTCATAGTAAATGTATTTATTTACACTTGCCTGCCGTCTTAAAAAAACGACATTTTCAAAAAAAAAAAAAAAAAAAAAAAAAAAAAAAAAAAACCATTATTTCTAACGATATTTTTTTTTTTTTTTTTTTTTTTTTTTTTTAAGTTTCGAATACTTTACTATGCGTAAAAACAGCGTTTTTCAAGATGGCTGACGTTTGTAGAAATCGCGCCAACAATTGCGCCAACGTAAATCGCCAAAAATCCGTGCAACCGTCTACCAAAGTAGCACCGTACTTTCTTTACACAAGCATATTTAATAAAGACGCAAACGGTTACAGAATATTTAGATAATGAAAAATGTTTTAATTTTTGCACGAAGCAGCGTGCGACTTCTCAGTTCCGAGTTCTCGTGCGATCTCTAAGCGAGAGTTCATAGTTCGAGATGACGTCACTCAGCCATCGTATCTCAGCAAGAGTTGAGTTGCAACACCTTATCTACCTGAAAGTTGTTGATCAACTGTCATTCTCCAAACACCAAAAATATTCTTGCACAAAAAAATACCTATAATACTAGCCATTGCATATATGCTTTGGAATCAAAACTTCTTGCACTTGCGATCATTCCTCTCTCAAAGACATTCAAATCTGTATTAATTATTTCTTATGTTAAATACACTGGTACGTTTAAACGTACATTTAAATGTAAATGCGACGAGTTTTAGATTATTTCTCTAGATAAGGTCTTACATAAGCTATTTTCCTGGGTATGACGTTGCCGAAAGACTGCACTATGTTAAAAAAATGGGTATCTTTAAAATTTTGGTCACTTATTGTATATTTTCTCTTTGACCAGCGTACATTTACATGAAAGAGTTTGCTCATATGAATAATATCTCCGTGCAATAAAGAGTTGAATATGCAATGAAAGAGTGAGAGGATATACACTGGTGTGCAAAAATTAAGGACGAGACGGTTTTTTCAATATAACTTTGTACAAAAGCTTTCCAAATCAACACATTTAATATCGTAAGATCCCCAATACGTAAGGACATGAGTAATGTAAGCAACACTTACTAAAAGAGAAATCAGAGGGATAAAAAGAAGCTTTATTGAAAAAGTAGCATGGAGCGCAATGCGACTGAAGGCCGAAACATCCCTGTGATGGGTGTCCAGCAAGAAACATCCGGTCTATAATAGGGGATATGATCTCCCCTGACTGCTAGGCAGGTTTCACAGCGTCTGCCCATGCTGAGAATGAGGGTGTCAATGAGTTGTTGATGCATTGCTGCCCATTCGTCTTGCAGCGCCAATCGAAGCTCCAGAATCGTTACTGGTGGTAAGGAACGAGCTGCCAAGCGTCTGCCTAGAAAATCCCATACATGCTCGATGGGATTGAGATCCGGAGATCGTGCCGGCCAATCCATACGTTCAATATCCTCACTCTCTAAGAGCTGTTCGGCAGCTACTGTGCGATGACATGGTGCATTGTCGTCCATGAAAAGGAATTGCGGACCCATAGCGCCTCTAAAAAGACGCACAAAAATGGAAGAAGAATCTCGTTACAATAACGGGTCCCGTTGACTGAACCTGCGTCGAAGGTCTGTACGACTACCAAGCATGATGCCTCCCCAAACGAGAACAACGCCACCTCCATACCTGTCCCTTTCAATGATGTTCGAGGGATGATTGCGGCTTCCCCGCTCTCTCCAGATGAGTATGCGATGAGAATCGCTACTCAGACTGAATCTGCTCTCTGTAAAGAGTACTCGTCCCCATTCATTGTCTCTCCAATTCCGGTGTTCCCGGCACCGCAGAGAACGCCTTCTCCGATGGGCAGGCGTTAGAGGTACACACCGTACAGGGCGTCGTGCAAACAGACCACCAACGTGCAGTCTTCTGGCCACGGTAAAACGCGATATCGGTCGTCCAGTCGCCTGTGTCGTGTGTCTACTAGCGATTTCTCCCGCTGTCTGCCGCCTGTTTCTTCTGGCCTGTAAGGCAATATACCGGTCATCTGCGGGTGTGGTTCCTCGTGGACGACCACTGCTAAACCCTGGATAGCTGTTCCTGTAGTTTGAAATTGTCTCCAAAGTCGTGAAACGATGCTGTGAGCAATTCCGAACTCTGCAGCCACACTTGTCACACTGCGGCCTTCCTCCAACTTCCCAATGATTCGACCTCGGGTAAAAGCATCCAGATGTCGTCTAACAGATTGATTATTCGCCATTTCTCGCTGAGGCAGCAACTCGGTGTGATTTTAACTGCTATACGGCGTGCAATCTCTTTGCCAGAAATACTGCTCTTACACCGACAACATGCTTTATACTACTCAGACACTCATTACGTCTACCTGCATATCTGCTCATGTGCTACCGTACATCAACTTACTTAATCTCCTGATTGGTCTTTCTGTCCGCTCTGCCTCTTCGTTCAGCTGATATGCTAATTTTTCGACTTCGTCCTTAATTTTTGCACACCAGTGTAAGTCTTTAAAAATTCAGACTGTGAGATCTAACTCTCTTTGCTATCATAAAGTTAAATAGATCTTACTAAGAGAACTGGCGACTTCTCGCACAGGCGTAAAGAATACCGGTACAGAAGACGAGTAAAATAACCCTTTATTATTCACCAAACACAAATGCACGTACTTCGTGCTTACAGTAACACCGACGACGAGCGGGGGAACTTGAGAATAATTTCACAATAAATTCAAAGATATAGCGATGGACTGAAAAGCTAAACGGATTGACTCAACAACCTACCCGGCGTTATACTTATTAAATGACCAAAAAGGCGTATCAGCAATCAGGATAGCAGCAAGGACAAAAGAGTAATAAGATGCGCTGGCTAGCGAAATCAAGCTCTGAATAAACTATTCGTTTTGTCTAATTTTATACTCACTCAACTTTAAATTTGCATCCTGGAGAGGAAATGCGAGGGGAAAGTGAGAGGTTCAGGAAGGGTACCAAACTTAAAATAATTTGTTCTGCAAACTAAGGGAAACCCTACAAGACTTATTTTCTAACAACTTAATGCTGTTTTTTTTACATCTAATTTCTTATGCTTGTTATTTTCCTCCTGCAGATTGGATATTATGGTCTTAATTGTAATGAAGTATGTCCTTGTAATGTAGAAACTACAGCGAATTGTGATTTCATCACTGGAAATTGTACATGTTTTACGGGGTGGACAGGTAAGTATGAATTAAAAGATAAGACAACTATTTTTTACTACAGCAATCAAATTTTATTAGTAAAGTTGTACATTATATGATTTAAAGTTACTTCATCTCAATTTAAGTCAAACTATTTAAACTGATATGTTTTGAAACGTAATGCTATGTGTTAAAAGTTAGTGCTAGGCGGGCAAGTTCCTGACAACATAATTTTGAATGGCTAATTCTTTGAAAACTTAAGGGCAGCAGCTCAAAAGGAAATAAATTATTAAAATAATGTTTGTAGTGTGTATTATGCAGTCGACCGTAAAACTGTCGCAAAGCAGCACAATTTAGCGCCAGGTATGGATAAGAGTGACATCAAAACACACTCATAACATCTCCACTTTATTTCGTTGTAACCCCGATTGATTCTCGATAAACCAGGCTTTGTTTTTATGAATAAGGATATAAATTAAGAGTTTATTACTGTATTTATTCTTTCATTTTGAAAACAGTTAATTCAAGTTTAGACATGTCTTCTACAGAAGAGGTAGCAGTGGATTATTTTCAAAGTTATGGGATTTTTCCATCAAAAAAGGTGTTGTGACTTCTGAACACCCGTGTTGGATGAAAGGAAAAGAGAAATTATCTTTTAAATATTTATTTTAAAACTTATTTTAAATATTTATTTTAAAACTTATTTATTTCTTGAATACTTATTAGTATTCAAGATTTTCTTGAATTCTAATAAGTAAAATAATCAAAACATTACAGTTATAATACAAAACAATGGCCGTGTCTTCTTTCAATCTCTCGCTGCATAAAAAGCTCACACAAAAGCCCCTGTCTTTCGTTTTGTTAAACGTCTTGTCCGAAATACCTTGGAATGTGGTAATTTACGACGTCCCTTGTGTCCGGAAACCGCATCAGGGGATTTCCGCAACACCTTTCATCAAAGTTCTAACTGACAATTAGTCTCTGTACAAAACAGGAAGTTCTTCTCATTAAACAAATGTCTGTCAGAGTGTGCACATTGTCACAGTGTGCATTAATCGACATATTATGATCAACTGCATATAGCCGACAAAAGAAGAATAGATTGCAACAATGATCCTGCAAAATCGGAAGGCGTGGCAAAATACTAGAAATGGACGGAGTTCTCTTTACGAAGTGCAAAAATGAAGCTGGTAAAATACTAATTTTTTATTGAATAACGATTCGTCATATCTTTCAGAACTCCGCAAGCGCGATCGGCCCAATTTTTAGCGGGTTCTTCGCCAACTTACAAGGTTTGATAGTAGCCAAATTTCACGGTAGACGGGATAATACTTAAGTATCAAATTCGTTTATTAAATATTGCTAATAGAAAGAATATCAAAGCTGGATTTCTAAATACAGTTTTCTGCTGGAATGACTTATGACCTAGCTGAATATGACTTAAAATAAACACTTGTAAACTGCAGTTCACTTTATATTTATTTAATTTTCTTTCTTACTACAGACAGTAAACGCTGCCATAGAATTACTTTAAAACACTAACTAAACACAGAAGTAATAACATAAAATTATTGGGATTGATAACCTTTTAGGTAGTCAAACTAAAAATATCGTCGAACATATCAATAAGACATAATTGTAAAAAAAAAGTCTGAGTAATTGAAAATTCAAATTAACGATACTTTGGGAGAAGTAATAGTAAAGGCGGAAATTAAAAATATTTGGTTAGTTTTAAATATTAACCTTACAAATGGATAAAGAAAAACTGGCCGGAAAGGGCTTTATTACTAGAACTTGGAATCAAAACGGTTTTCAAAGACCTTTCATACATCTGAATAAAGTTCTCCTTCTACTTCCGCATATCAAATTAGACTTAATGAAATAATTTAAATAAGTCTTACTAAGAGAAGGTGAATGTGTTTAATACATTTATGATACATTTTCAGTTTATCAACCGCCAAACTAAGAGGGTGTCTTTACTGGTCCTGGCATCAGAAAATTTTCAAGAATGATAATTTTGAGAAAATAGAAGTTGCAGAAAAAAAGGAGTGGAAGACATAGTAACCAAGTTTCAATAAGAAAGATCCGACCTTTAAATAAATTGTTGGGAATATGCTGCAGAGATACAAAAATTTAAGCTGTTACACGAACTTAGATTCACTTCTTTAATTCATGTTTGGACTATTTTCTTGAAAATTTGGTTAGCGAAGAGATGGTTGAGAGTTTTCATCAAGACATCAAAGAAATGGAATGGAAGTATAAAGGAATAACTTCCATGATGATAGTAAAATAAACTACTTCCATGGAATAATAAACTACTTCCATGATGCTGGATGTTGCCCCGAGATAAACCCCAGCAAGAACATAAAAAGGAAAAGTGAAAAGCATCAGCTGTCCATGGAAACTTCGATACATAGAAATAAAATTGGATATGTTATGTAAATTTGATTTACTTTCACTGATAAATCTGCTTCATATGTCTAAGCTAAACAAAAATAAATTCTAAGAAAATATAAATCTATTTTAAAGTCTCATATTTTCGACCTTTTTTTTAATTCTGAAAGTTGCGATTTCTGAAATACCTTGATATGGTGGAAAAAAAGGGCAGCATTTTCAATTTCACCTCTAAAAATTATATATGTATCAATTAATTAAAATTAAAAAACATAACGCAACCTAAATTTTTCAGGCTTGTGTAATATAAGCAATACAACAAAAATATTATTTTAAGAACTGCAGATTTGTTTCATTTAAAATAAAAAATTCACTGTAGTTCTGAAACAACTTATCAAATACTTAAAGAAAGAAGAGATTAATTGTGTATGGGGATGAGTAAATTGCTCTGTAAAACGAAGGCAATGCAGATGTCTTCGCTTTTAAAGATCCTGTAGGGAAAAAAAAAAAAAAAAACCTGGAGCATGAACAGTGGGATTTCGGTTTAATATTTGACAACTGCTTATCGAGAAAAAGTGCTAAGAAAATAATTTCAGCGTCATTTGATAGCGTTCAGCTTTTCAAATATTTAAGTAATTGTTTAAATATTAATCGCTAATGTTTATAATTATTGTAATCTAAGTAACCGAATTTCTATTGCAATTACTGTTTCAACAACTTACAAGCACATAACTTACATACAAACCTGATAGTAATCAGCGATTTACTTAGATGAAGTCATTTCTACCTTCTACCTTTAAAAGGTTAATTTTTCAACTAACTCTCATCAAATTTATGTTGTTCGACGTTGAACTGATAGATAATGTCCACAATTATAGACTTCTGATCACACCTTAATGGGTGTTTACGAAGCGTTCGAGAAGTATTTGATACAGTCGCTCAATACCCATTCAGTTTAGAACTGCTTGAACTACTGCAATATGAAACACAAGCATCTTAAACAATATCTTCAATATTGTCTCCAAATTACAGCAATTGATTTATCAGTATTTCTATTATATACAGATGGTGGTTAGAGAAGCGATTTTGATAATTAAATTTTACGTATAAATGGCGTATTTTTTTCCAAACAATTTCCAATTATCTGTAGCCTTCTGATTTTTTGGCTACAGTTCTACCTCGAAATTTCCATAAAGGTAAGCTTCTTTCCGTGAAAGTAAATTGATTGTCATGTCAATTTTATTACATTCCTTTTGGGTCATTAGGTAAACTCCATTCAGTGCTCTTAGATGCCGTGTTCCCAAGGTTTGTTTTAATAAAGCAACAACGCAGAAGTCCTTAGGAAAAGAGTCACGTATTTCAGTAATTAAGATGCATTTTATTTTTGTTTCTAATTCTTTCTTTATTAAATAAGCGGGAGTTGACTTAGTGACTAGAAGTTTTGTCCTCAACTTCTAGTCACTCGTTTAAGTCAACTGCCGCTTATTTAATATCGATAAATTTGAAGCTCAACTTTATCGATGTCATTTCCGTATAAGGCAAAACTATTTCTAAATACTACAATGAATTACTTTTAGCCTTACATGAGATATTTTTGAATTTTAATTTAGCGCTGTAACAAAATTCTTCAATTACCCAGAATCCCGTTGGGGACTTTTTCGTACATTGAAAAAGCCATTTCGTATAATCATTTTCGTCAGTTGAGCAACAGAAATTTATCTTTTTCTTATTACAGTCACTTATTGAACTATGCCTCATCCAATGTTTCCACAAATTTTCATTTATTAGCAGCTGGGTATTTTTCATATAATTTTCTACAATTAGTTTTTCTTTCCAGAATATGCTTTCGCAAAAGGAAGATGAACTTTAACTTCAAAATATTTTTTAACTTCAAATCTTTATGAATGATTTTACTTACAATGCCAGAAGACATTCCCAGCTCTGATGCAATGGATCTTTGAGTTGGTGGATTATCTTTAAGGATCAGAGGCTTCGTTTTCTTGATGTTTACCCGCGTTTGAACAGTCATAGGATGAAGTTTTTGCGCAGGCCATTTATTTTTTCATTTTTACATTCAAAGAGACACATTTTCTCTTTCAATTTATATACCTTTCTTTGAAATGAAATAATCTCGATTTTTAATTGCTTCACAATTTGTTGATATGAATATTTTTCCTCGTAAAGTGCGTTTCCGTAACCCTCAAGCTATATATCAATTTTAGGACATTTCAAAAACAAATATCTTATTCTACATTGCATATAAAAGAAACCAAGAGCAAACTGTTGTATTAAAAATGTGTAGAGACATTAGGTATTTTGGAAGCAGGAAAGATGAAAAATTAACAACGCCTTCGCCGGGAATCGAACCGCTGACCTCTGGAATACCAGCCCAGTGTGCAGACCACCATACCACGAAGGAACGCCAAGAAGGTAGGAGAAATACCTTATAAATGTCAAGCCTTTTTCTCAAATGCTAACGAGAAAATTTAAATGGAAAATTGTTCCTATCAAGGGTGAACGACTTTCTGTAGAATACCATATTTCTAACTATATTTTATAAAGAAGTAAACATTTTCATGAATTCAATTGATTATTTTACTTTGTTTTTTTCATAAAGGAGAATTATGTGACATCAAATGCAGTAACGGCAGCTGGGGAGTTATGTGTAAGAACATGTGTACTTGTGCTGAAGGTATTTCCTGTCATCATATGACTGGAAAGTGCATGTGCGATCCTGGATGGACGGGGTCGGACTGTATGGAAAGTAAGTATTTTATCAATTGTTATATCCAAATTTCGTACACTCAATCATTCTGGGCAGAAGTCCAACGGATATTTAATGAAAGGAGGCAAAAAAGGGTTACTAAATATGGTATAAAGCTATACAGAGGAAAAGGTACAAAAGATGTATTTTCTCCAATCGATATACTCGTATATTGTATAAATATACTTTATCAGTAAAATTTCAATCACTAGAAATCGTATAAAAATTTGTTAGTGGATGAAAATAGTGTGCATAATTGATCATAAAAATTTTAATTTATTTGGTATCCTAAAGTTTCTGTGTTAACAGGTATTTTGATATCAGAGTATTATTAAATAAAAAACGTTTCCCTACACAGCTATGACCTTACACAAAGTTTAATTTGTCATACAAAATTCTTTGTGAAAAAACTAAAAACAAACGAACTGGTTCCACAAAATTGCATGTATTATTTGTGAATATTATAAAAAAAACTATCAAGATAATTAAATAATAAATTTAAAGAAACAAAAAAATCTCCCCAGTGAGGTAAAAAAAAAAGTTTCCCTTTGGTATTTACATAGTTTCTGAAAGATCTTTTCAGGTTAACCAAGTTATATTTAGTGGTCGATAGACCCTCCTTTGGATTAACTTCCCTTAAAAATTCTGGCATGACTCGCACGAGTTTGGTTTTGTTGTTTCAAATAAATCAATTAATAAATGCACGAATTTACAGATTTGTATATAAATAGGATCACGGTCTTAGTATACGCTTTAGATTATATACAGCATGGGAATTACGTATTATGGACACAGTAAATGCCTAGCCTTATTATACTGAACTATTTTAGGCTTAGAATTTGATAATTTGCGGATCTGAACTACGATGTCGTTCAGCCTGTTTTAGGACTGTGCAAGGACCGTCTCAGGGTGACTGTAAGAAAGTCCTTTCCTTCAAATCGGATTCCGTAACCACACCTTGTCACCTTCACGATTTCTTTAAATCGATGTTCTGTAGTTGTCATGTCACACCGTATCTTCATCTTGTCTGACGCCAAGCTGACTCGTTCTCGTACAAAATTGTACATCACTTCACTGCGTGCCTGGAGATCTTGAATGTATTCCCGAGGCAATGAAGGCACATCCGGAGGGTGGCCAAACAAGAGATCACAAGGCAGACGAACTTCACGAGCGAAGAGCACCTGCGATGGAGAATAAAAATATTAAATAAAATTAGTGTCATAGAAAGAGCCCGACTTTTCTTGGGGAATTGGAACCTCTCCATACAACCATTAAGAGTTCAGGAAGAGCGCATTTCGTCATTTGGCATTTCTGAACAAAATCCTATTCCAACTTTAAAATCCGAATTTAAATCTAATAATAAATAAATAATAAATTTAGAAATGTGAAATAACTCCTCGACTCGCGGATGGCAATTAATTGCAACTAAATTGAAAAATAAATAGAGTATTTATGAAGAATAATACTTAAATTAAGAATAAAAGTATAGGGAAATGAAGTAAAAATCAAGACGCAAATGAAATGAAAGAAATATACAAATAAAAGTCAAATAAACAGGGTATTTTTTACATATTAAAAGGCCAAAGTTAATTGTAAATTTTACTTACATTTTACCCTAACCAAACAAGAATTCAAAATGGCGCTATTACAGCAATAATAATTAATGTAGATGCTAAGGGTTGCCATGAGTAATGTTTAAGAAAGCTCATTTTACTTTTATGTTATAAAAACTTCTGTATTGTCGTGAAACTGAGCCAGGAGGGGTTGCCATTTGAACGAGTTTTCTTACAGGGTAGAAATTAAGACGAAGAAATATATATAATAAAATAAAACTATGAAAATAAAAAAATAAAATAAAATAAAATGAGCATATCTTTAGCATTTCGGATACACAGTTTCGCGTGCTGGAGATAAAAAGGTTCCCCCCCGGTAAAGTGTTGCCATTGCTCACTTTTAAATCGTTGAGTTTGTTAATCAAAAAGTCGTTAAAGTTTTACAAAATATGAACCGATAATAAAACAAATTCCAAATTTCAAATTTGGGCTTTCAGATGCCCATATTCGCAGTAGGATTACGTCATTCAAAATTTTATGGCTTTAGGTACCGTTATTTTATCATAATGCGAGAAACATACGTACATTTATGCAGATTCTTTATTATTTGATTTCTTCAAATATAATGTAGGACTCTAACATTTGGTGGCAACAATTTGGAAAGTGATACGCCGTTTATAGTGATTCAACGCAAAATCGCAAAAGGAAAACAATAGTCCTTCACGAAAATGCATGGTAAGAACTTTGAACATTAAGAAATGTAGAGCAAAATTGCTAATTTTATAATCAGCTTTGGCTGATAGTAAAAAAAATAAAATAAAATAAAATAAAATAAAAAAAAATAAATGCAGATTAAAATTGAGAATTTTATAATTAACTGTGGCTGATAGTCAAAACAAAAGGAAAAATGTTTTACATCTAAAAAGAAAGGAAGCCAGAATATTTGCAGAAAATGTTTTATACCATTTAATTAAAAAATATACAAATCTTCAAAGCTAAACGGCATCCTTTCTTACCCCTCTTTACGGTTTCGAATAAGCTTAACGTCACCGGCATACTTCAAAAGTGAGTGACAGAAATTAGAAAAATGTGAGTGGAAGTTAATATTTGGGCTTATTAGAAAACTTGAAATGAAAGCTTAAATTTATTGCACTGATGAAAAAAAGTTCTGACTGCTTGTCAAAATGGAATATTATTACTAATTTTGCCTTATTACGCCACTCTGATCAATAATAGCAGATAGTTATCCATTCACCACTCTTGCGAGTGTAATATAGATCGCCTTTCTGCATTCTGGAGAATATTCTCGGTGTTGAGTTTTCTGACTGATTGACGGGTTCAAAGAATTTTTACGAATGCTTATCTAGCAAGTACCTCGCCGTTAGAGGAAAATAAAAATCAAAACAGATTGTTATCAGAGAACTGCATAGCACAAACTGCATTCATTGAAAACATTTAATACAGTATTGCACTGTCATGGATTTTAAAAAATGCGCTTTATAAATTTTTTAGGTGATTTTGATGAACAGCAGCGGTTTACTCAACGCATTTGAAAAAGACATTTTTTAATTAAGTACTGTGTAATAGAAATACAAATTTACCGTATTTCCCTTCCTAGACTTCTAGCTTAAGGTTTTTTTCCCTTCCTCTGTGCGTTTAAAGAACAAGCTTCCCTAAATTTTAAAATAAATTTGCCTACGTTTTGATCGCTTTTGACTTAACAACAAACCCTCCCACACAAGCTGCGAATATCACGCCGAATCTTTATTTCTTTAACTGTTGAACGTTGTGCCAGCCTAATAACCAACCCGCCACAGTGAAGCATACGCAAATCGATATTTAGTCTACGATTTCGCCAAGTCACTTGAATATTTATCTTCTTTAATTATTTATAGATGATTTGAGGCCTAAAGAGTCTACCTCTTTAGAAACAACAATAAGAAAGTGCGAAGTTCAAATTACAGGAAAGTGGGAATGAAGATCTTATTAGATTTTGTATGCTAATATTACTATACATTCTTATTGGAATGTAGGTTTTTTTAAAGAAATAATACTGTGATAGTTACTTGTAATTTATCTATGACTGTTTTTCGTTTGTAATGTTCTTATTGTAACTGCGTATTTCGAAAATAAATGTGCTGTATAATTTTGTCTTCCCGATTTTCGGACAATAAAATTAGCAAAAAAGAAGGGAGGACTGCGAGGAAATGCGGTACTATTTCTTGCATATCAAAAAGCTCAAACAGTCTCATAAATTAACTACTTTTGTTTTAATTTCTTGTTCAGAATGCCCCTTTGGAACTTTTGGAAAGATGTGCGAAGAGATTTGCCCATACTGTGCAGCAAACAGCATTTGTCATCATATAACAGGAATGTGTGACTGCCCACGAGGTTGTAAGGCATCCCATCGCAGAGAAGGTATTGTAATATATTCAAATATTTCGAATGTATTAATTCTTAGAATAAAATATGTAGTGAAATTAATAATTAAATTTGAAATTATCGTATTGGAAGGAGGGAGAGAGAAAATTATCAGGTTCTTTAAGACATTAGCAGTACTTTTTAGCAATTAATGAACATTTAATGAACAGTTCATTTCAGTTCAGTTGACGATACTTGGGGACATCCGGTCTTTACCAATGGTTAACAGGTATTATTCCACATTCATCATTAACAGCATTTATTTTTATTTAAAATATAATAACCAAATTAATTATATTTTCATATTACAATACATAATTTTAAATTATAAATATTGAAATATATTTACATGAAAGAGGGAATAAAAAATTGAAAATAAAATGCAGTTGCGTTAAAAATAAAGTAGTTTATGGAGTCCATAAAATTCGATAAAACATTCATAAATCGATCATTAAAATAATCATTATGTCTATTTTAATACAATAATAATAATAATAATACTTAACTATTTTAATGAGTTTTAATAATCATAATGCTCATACCTTATAGTCACAAAATAAAGTTACTGCGTGAACTTATAAATTAAATTATGAAATTTTAAAGAAGTAAATATGTTAATCTTAATAAGGAATCCTTTAAAAGGAATAACATTAACAGCAAAAAATTTAATATGGCATTGTTTCACTAAGGGACGTTTCATTATATAATGATCTGGAGATCCAGTGGCGCACACACACAACGGTAAAAAACATGTATATTCATTTTCCAAGTCTTCCAAGGTTTAAGCTGGGTTTTGAGAAGTTCTTGAAATTCATTGCTTTAATATGCTTTTGGTCTTCTTAAAAGCAAATTGTTATCAGTGTTAATGCTTCTAAATGTTTTAAAATATTTCTCATAACGTCGACTAATAACGTCTCATAACGTCTAATGATCCTTTCATTTCCACAGCAGTCTTACCTGAGAGAAAAATGAGATTAAAGTGGTACAGTTACCTTTTACTTGCTTACTTTCTTACCTGCAATAAAAAATGAAGCTACTCATAGGATATAATTTGGCGATTTAGGCAAGTTTTCAAAAAAGATCGCCAAACATATAGAATGTTTTATCATAACTAAGCAATTATTATGATTTAAAAACCTTTACTATAACATTTCTTTCCATAGTCCACACCGGAATTAAAATTAGATGATAAATTATGTAAGCCGACGGTTTTCAATAGCTTTGTTACTTTACTGCCTGCTTGTTTGTAAGCACAAGTAGTGCTTTCTGTTCAGTTTGAAGAATTAATGGAAAAGGTTATTTAAACCTTTTTAGGACTTTGTCAACTCATTTACCAGTCTAACAAGGTCAGTAGGACCTGAATGAATTCTGCACAATTAGATCCCTATAAGTTATCAACATTTATCATAATTCAGCTAATATTATCAACACATCAAAAGAAAACGCACTTAAGAAATTTAAGATACACAATTTAAATATTAAATAAGTGGTATATGATACATTAAATATTATATATGCATTAAACCATATGATACATTACTCTTATTCCCCTCATGTTAAGAGCGATCTGTTTTCTTTTAGAACTTTTTTGTTAGCTCAAACTAGGCATCGAGCACAACCTCCGCATTGCACATCGGCTATGATCACGTATATACAGTTTTAAAAAACAGTAAGTAGCATTAAAAAACAGATAGCATGTGATTGAGAGAGACATATTCTGCAATAACCTTGATTCGAGTTATTCAAAAAAAAAAAAAAAAGGGGGGGGGGAAAGCTTGCCAGAAACAAAATCATTATCTATCGATAAAGAAATGAATGTTTCTAATATTCGTAAATATTTATGGAATTCTTTTGCAGCAATAAGCATTGGTAGCTTTATTTGTAACTTTGTTTACAGTAGTGACATATGAATTTACTAACAAAATTTGCATTGATAGAAATATTACGGAAATTATAGATAATAATTTTATTCTTAAAGTTTTTCTGCAGCACGATCCAAATCTGAAGGATTTATTGACCATTATCTTTCAAGGCACTTAGTTTAAACCAATTTTCCAATTCATTTAAAACATTCTTCCTTTGGTGCTCGGTGATTTCATGGATTGCTTCAATTATTCTGAAATTTAATACACTGCTAGGTTCATTATTAGATCCTTAAACTGTTCTAAATAATGTGGCTCGAAAGAGCAATCAGATGCTTGGACCTGTTTAGGAGTGTTAATTTCAAATAAAGACTCGTCTAGGATATAATGTTTATATACAGTGATATTATCATCATTTGAATCTTAAAAGAATCTTTCGCTCATATTCTAGACTAGTAGAGAAGTAGAATAAATATGTGTGAAATTAGAATTAACAGTGTACGTTTTCTTGTTCTTTTTTCATTCACCACTAAGGTGAAATTCATTTTCCCGCACTTTATTTATTAGAATAACGTAAAAACTACATTCTTCTTAATAAAAATCCATCTTTCATAACATCAATAAATTTTATTTACAGTTTAGAAAGTACAATCATACAACTATTCCATCTTAACCATTACTACAATTTTTATAAGAAAAGCCCGTAGAACCTTCTTCTGGTATTTCCATTCCGGCAAAGTGTAATTCTGTTTCCTATACTTGTGGCTGGCGCTCTTTGTTTTCTTTTACGATGCCCGTGGAGCCACTCAATGCTCGCAAATTTGAAAGAGTTGAAATTCTTGAAGCCAACGCACAAGAACTCTTTTGCCATAGTGCTAGAGGATTCGATTCCCATGACACCGAGTTATGAGCATACCTCCATTTAAACACAAAAAAGCATCGAATAACAACGAACTATGAATCACCACGGTTTTCGGCTCATCACTTTAAGCGTCTGTGAAATTCACACTGCTGGCCATTAAAATTGCAACCATGAAAGAAAAGCAAATACGAAAAAGATATTTATTACACATAAACAGTATGGCATGAAGACAAAATGATTAATTTGTAAGCAGTTTGGAGGTTTACAGGGGTGAGAAATTAGAACAGCTGCTATCCCTGGCAGCTAAAACGGCCGTTACCTGGTTAGGCATGGAGACAAACTGGTCTTGGATGACAGAAACTGGCAACTCATTCCATGCTGCTTCAAGTGTATGCAACATTTCATCAGCCGTATTAGCTGGAGAGGGGTGGCGAACCAGTCTCTCAGCAATCCATGACTAGAGGTTTCCAATGGGTGACATATATGGAGACCGTGCAGGCCAGGGCAGCAGTCGAATACCCTGTGTATCGAACGAAGTTTTAGTGATATACATTTTGATTTATTGAATTTTGATTTTAAACATTTGAAATTATATGCAAGAGAATTGATGGCCTTTATTAATGGCAATAGACATGCGATTGGGGTTTTTAACTAAGTTCGTTTTATTTTCAATGTGTTTATTTTAGGATGTCTTTTTCGTCGTGTTTGATGATATGTGTGACTGTATGTCATATTTTCGTTGTGTCTTTTTATGTGTGTTTTCCTTCCTTATTTTATGTTATCATTTTTACTAACACAGTTTTCTTGATTTAGTTATTTTTGGTTTTCTTCTTTCCTGTTGTGTCGTTAATCCAGCCATTTAAAACAAATAAAATTATATAGTTGTATGGCAACCTTGCTGGATGTATAATTATTATTTTCTTTAGTTGATTATACTAACATGTTTAGTTACTCGGAATACCGGGCTTGGTTTCTTGGAACTTTGAATTTTAAGTTAAATGTTAAAGTTGCTTCGTGTATAATATCTTGGATTAGTTGTTCTTTTTTATTAATCTGGCGTTTTAACTTTTGTTGGGGGACTCTTTTGTTGGGGGACTGGCTGCCTTCGCTTGTGGCGTGAACGGGATGCCCCTTTTTGGATTATCACTTTGTGATCAGGCGGGTTGGTGCGTTCTAGCAATCCTACCCTGTGTATCGAGGAAGGTCAAAACACAACTTGGAACATGTGGTCTTGCATTATCTTGTTGGAAGATGGCGTTTGGCAGGCTTCGAAGATAGGGCACAACCGATGGGCGTAAGATGTCAGAAATGAATCGATCTGCGTTCAAATTAACCGTCAGTCCGAACTAGAGATGTGCGTGTCGTGTGGCTGGCTGCTAAAGCCATCACACCAGGTGTAGGGTCTTCATGCCGACATCGAATGCAAGCAGGCGACGTGCGGTCTCCTCGGAGCCTCCAGACACGTGTTAATCTTAAGTGACGAAGTCACGCAGGTTCCTGGGACACTTCCCTACCCTGTATGTAGCAACGTAAAGTGGTGTGTATATCTTTTATATTTGCATAGCATAACTTAGAGTCAAAGAAAAAAACATGAAAGTCCTAAAATAAATATTTAATATTGTACATATGGCAAGTATTTCGTGATGCAATTATAGCGATGAGTTGTAGAAGTTGGATAAGCAATTTAGTGAACGTTGAAGATGTAGCAATTTTGCCATTAGGTTGTTCATAGCTGGTGCGTGAAACATTGGATTGATAGCTGCAACTAGATGCTGAGAAATAAATTCATTTCTGCGTCGAAGAGTCAGTTCCCTCTTGCTTGACTGAAGCGCGAACCTCTGCCTTCTGTGTTTTCCGTCTAAATGAGCTGGAGTCTCGTAGTGGGAATGCTAAATGAGGAGAGAAAGTGCGGTGGAAACGTTAGCTATTGGCAGGCATAGGAGGCGGGCATGGTTCATAGCCATACTTTTAGAGGGTTGGTGGAGACGAAAAGAGGGGAGGGGTTTACTATGTCACATGATTATCTACTGCTAGGAATAATCGAAGTAATTCGAAGTAAGAGTATTAAATTTAAAACAGAATCAATAATAAGAAATTACTGTTAAAAAAAGAAAGCTGTAAGGCATATTGCTATATGAGAATGCTAAATAAAGTAATATTTAAGTAAAATTCTGCATAATCATTTGTTTAATTATTTTAAAAGTGCTCCTGGCCTTCTGGCGTTATTAATTTCATTATAATCGTAGCTAAGTAAAGGAATACTTTCATTCTCAACCTTGTGAATGTTCTTAAAGAATTTTCTGGCATTTTTGGACATAAACATTTTAATTTATAGAACTAATTTATGAACTTCAAGTTCATTGTGAATATCTGCATTCCTGATAAATCAGTGACTCTTTGTTATCTGTCTAAGAGTAACATTCTGTAAACTTGCATTTTTTCATGTGTACTGTACTGGCAAAGCCCCAAATAGGACAGGCATAGGTAATAATGGAACGCAACATTGCTTTGTAAAGGAGCAATTTATTGTCTAGAGATAAAACTGAGTTCCGAGAAATTAAGGGGACAAGTTTTTGTTTAGCAGCTCGGAACTTATTAATTACTTGTGTAGTGTAGGGCCTCCATGTAATGCTCCTATCCAACGTAGCACCTAGGTATTTTACTTGCTTAGCCCACGGAATGACTGTATCATACATTTTAATACAGTGATCAATCTTTCTATATCTTGTGAATAGTACTGCGACTGACTTATCCACGTTTATTTGGATCTTCTATTTTTTAAGCCAGGCTTCAAGTGTGTGTATGTGTATTTGTAATGCTTGTGCTACGTAGTTTAGAATGCATTTTTTGCGAGGACTGCCGTGTCGTCGGCATACATGGCAAGAGTAATGTATGGGGTGTGTGGTATGTCGTTCGCATATAATAGGAAGTATATAGAACCCGTCAGAGACCCTTGAGGGACCCCTGCAAGTATGTTTCTCTGAGTAGAATATATAATTTTATAGCGAACGACAAAGTGCCTCTCATACAGATAAGATTTAGTGATGTTTATGATGTATCCTGGGATACCCAGAGAAATAAATTTGTATAGTAAGCCGTCTAGCCAAACGCGGTCGAATGCCTTCGATATATCGAGAAAAAGAGCTCTAGTGCTCTCATTTTCTTTGAATCCTTGTCACTCTCCAGACATGTATACGAATACAGCCATCAGAATCCTGCACGCAGAACCGTGACTCGACTGAAAAGACGATATTGTACTACTCATGTATCCAGCTTTGTCATTCGACGCCAGAGTCGCCGTCTCTCTCTATGCTGCATTGTCAAGGGAAGTTGAAGTAATGGTTGCCGTGTTGATAGTCCACGCTGCTGTAAACGTCGACACTCTGTACGAGCGGATATTGGGAGTGCCCGTTTCTGACTAATGTGTCCGTGATATGGTTATGCGGTTTTCACAATATGTCTGTCCTCTCGGGAGTTAGTCATGGGAGGGCGTTGAGATCCTGCATGCCGCTCACTAGGATTCTCAGCAGCCAATTGATTCCATATTCGCATGACTGTGTTTGGATGTCAACCAGTGCGACGGGCAATATCACGGAACGATAATCTACACTCTTGACAGGCAACGATCCTGCTTATATCGAATTCCAATACTTGCTGGTAACCATTTCTTCTTATTATTTGAGGCATAACAAGATATTCTGATCAATCTCCGACCTTACAAAACGCTTTCAAAATGAGAAATCCATTACACAACTTTTCTTTTATGTAATGCTTCAGATATCGTTTCTCCCTCCGGAGTCGTCTAATTGGCCATGTCTAAATGCGCTGAAATACTAATAATTTGCATATTCCAACCTCTTTTTTCTATCATGTGATTTTGACGTTGTCAGATCATCCCTTTCTGGTTTTGCAATTTTATTGGCCATTTTAATTTTACAATTCACATAACTATACTAATGCGAAATCGATTTATTTAAAGTTAATAATTTGATTCTTTTTCTTTACTTGTTTAGTACTATTTATTTCTTTTCCAAATATGTTTTATGTTTCCAAATATGTTAAACCCGCTGTACATCTAACAGTTTGCCCTAATGGTTTGTGGGGGGAAAAGTGCAGTAAAATATGTGATTGTGGTAAGAACGGAAGTAGTTGTGATCCGAGTTCAGGCCGATGCTGTGTTCCTGGGTGGAAAGGAACAGGCTGTCCTTCTGGTGAGTATAATTTTCTAATGCGGTCTTTTATTATAGAGTTGTATGATATATGTGTCAGATATTACGCTCGTTTTTGCTGTAACTGCAAATAAATAACGCTGATAGCTACAAAATATATTCTTCAATATACTCGTACACTGAGCTACCGTAAATCCATTGAACTTTGAAAAAAACTCAGTTTTCGACACCTTAGAACAGTCATAGATTTAATCAGACAGAATGATATGCTTAATCCACAATGTTAAACCACATTCCGATCACATGCATGTTTGTAATGATAGTTAATTATAATGGAGACATATTAATGTAGATGATAATAATCGGTGTTCTAATGCAGACATAAAAGATGGTTATAGAGAAATGTTATGGCAAAGGTACCTGTTACAAGAGCAATACAAAAATTATAGTGATAGAACTATTTATTAACATTATTGTAGAACGCTCTCAAGAAATATATTATTTTTGAATAGCATGCTTTGTTACAAAATACCGACTCGATATATCAAAACAGAAATTTAATAATATGAAACTTCAGTACATTAGTAACTATTCTCAGAAAGGCACTTGCATTTGTTTGCTATATATTAGAGCAATGAGAATAAAATTTTTGTCCTTTCATGAGTGCCGAATAATAACAATATTGAAACCATTTTTACAGATGTTATGTTCGGAGTGCCTTGCCACTACAAGTGCAAATGCTATAATGGAGGAACTTGCCAAACAGCTTCCGGGCTCTGCAAGTGTCCGCCTGGGTTTACTGAACCTCTGTGTACTGATGGTAAGCTTCATGTAATTTCTTTCATTTTGCAATATAAATGAAAATATTTTAAATTGCCGCTGGACCAGAAACATAAAATATAAAAAATATTTTTAATATCTGAAAAGCATTGCTCCGCATTTTGTTATGGATGATTCTTTCTGGCCACTTTCCCCTCTTTTGGTCACAAGCATTTTCCAACCAGAATTATCCTTAGTGTATAAGGATAAGGATATAAGGATTCATTTTAGTTTGCCTTCGTTAACAAGTTATTCTATGTTAATTTGTTTTGCTCTCTTTATCGCTAGTATTTAAAGAAAAATTTTTGAGTTCAAAGCGTGTTTCGCCTGCTGAAGGCGACGTTCTTTCTGCTGACTTTCATTTGAGTTAAAGGAAAGGGTCTTTTATATTATCAGTGTCTGTGGTACATTACAATACATAGCGCTAGGTCACTTTAGGTCTTTGAGTACATCTCGTCTATGCTCCCAAAGAGGACAACACGCCACAAGAGTGTGATTTTTTTTTTTTTTTTTTTTTTTTTTGATCAGTTGCTAATCCCTAAACATCCGAGACACTGTGGCATGAGAAAAGTGTAGAACTGTTTCAAAAATGTCTGGAACCAATCTTCTTGCATTTGGGCTCATACCTCATTATAGTTACTCAAAACCTTCCTTCTTCCTTATTTTCATACTAAAGGCATTTTTAACGATTTCTTTTCAAAACGAACATGATTTAGCAATTTCTGGTATTTTACTACCCTGTGTCACTGGGAAAATGGTACATATTTAGAAAAAATGAGTTTCTTTAATGTTTTGGCTACTCAGTGTAAATACAGCAAGACATAGCATTGCAGATCAGTACCCTACTCTGTATATGAATGATTACAGCTATTGAACTGGGAAATTGCAGTCACTTTAAGGAACTTTAAAAGATGAACATATAATATAAAAATTACTTGTTTTTGTCCGTTTCATAAATTTAATTTCAATGTGAGATAAAATTTTTATTATTAAGTACGTGTATTCTACTTGCATTCTTCAAATTCTAATGGAACTAATGCATAAAAAAGCTGTGAAATAATATTTCTATTGTTAAGAATTAAATATCATATTAAGTAAAATAATGATATTTAAATTAAAAAATACAGAGAGTGTTTACATATTTTTAGAATGATTTCGATAGAAGAATTTAAAAAAGCAAATGTTTTCGAATACAAATTTATGGCAACGTCTTATCATTTGATATGAGAAATAGCGTCCCTACTTTTAAATTCAATTTTCTTTCAAATTGTCTCAGGTAAACAAGCTGTGGATTGAAGGATATGTTTTTGCACTTTCCGAAGAGCAATATTCGCATTCCGTAATTCAAAAACGTTGTGAAATGCAGGGTATTAAAATTTCTAAGTGTAGCATTATTAAACGGAAAGTGAAACATCGAAAATTAGTACTTCGACATGGACCGAAGTCTCCAAAAGAATAACCGAAAAAAGCAAGTATTATTTAGAATGTTTCTAAAGGTAAATCATTGGTAACATGGAGAAATCCACCGACCCAGAAAACAATTGCAAAATCTTTAAATCCACTGTAGCACTAATAAATAAATAAATAAAAGCAAGATTTGCAACATACAAAACATAATGTTCACCAGCTTTTGCCGAGGTATGTAGCTCAAAGCAGAACAGTTTTTAGAACCCCCTATGAAAACTATTTAGCAAGAGATAAATCGAAGTACATCATGACCCTTATAAAGCATAGTTTTACTTAAATTACCGCAATAAAATTTAATTTGAATTTTTCTTTATAAATAACGGTAATAAGTAACGAAACGTTTATTTATTACCAAAATGATAAGAACAAACCTGATTCTATCAACGAAAAAAGTTTCAGTAAGAGGTTTATGACTGTCGCAGGATTCTCTTATAACTGGAAATTAAAAAATAAGAATAGTGGGAAAAATGTTAAAATCAAGTCAAATAACTATCAAGAGCAAATTTTACATCCGAAATTTGTGGAGGAAGTTACATTTCTTTATCCCAGCGACTTTCAAAGAATGAAGCATCAAGACAAAACAATAGTTGTACTTCGAAAAGTTCCATTGTATACCTTGAAAACATGAAGACTACATAGGAATCGCATATATACTTTTTCAACGTACTCCTGCGAAGACCCCTGACCTTTGGTCTCTTGAAAGTTCTTTTTAAGCGTAAGCTCACCTTGTTTGATGGACTAGCAGTGGATTGATGGAGTAGTGGAAAATGAATGGATATCACTACACCTGGAAATTTTACAGCAAGCCCTCCATTCATCGAAATCATGATTAAAGTCCAGTAAAAAGGCTATCGGATCGCATGTTTAAAAAAATACTCTTTACATTTTCAACATTCACCCGAAATAGTTCTAAGAATGTGCAAAAATCCTCTATATGTCCTTTTGTTATTTTTATAGCAATGTTATGTAGGCAGTTTATCAAAAAAGACAAGACGTAACTAATATTTAAATGAAACAGGATTAATTTGTCCATTATGGAGCTCACATTGCTTAATTTCGTTTTATATGATTTGTTTTAAGGAAAGAATTGCTAGTGAAGAAATACTACTGAAGTTAAGTTTATGATTTCAGGTACGTTTGAATTTGCAAACCAAGCAGCACGGCAGATCTTTCAAATTTCGACAACGTTTTACACCATACTGATTTTTACAACTCTCTTCACACTTTTAGTTTTTTGTATTCTAAAAAAGAAAAAGAAATTGAAGATCAACTGGAAGTTGTAAGTTATGTTTATTTTAATTGTTCCCAAATTATCTCCATCTTATAATGATATTGTTATTTAAATTATTTAAAGCATCAAAAATTTGAAATGTGTAATTCATAAATCAAATTTTTGAAATATGTTGCAAAAGAGGGGAAAATAACTGAATAATTGCAGCTCATGCATTTATACATAAAAATACGAGTATGTATCTTATCATTTTCACAAAGTGCGTATAAACATAAATTAATCATATATTATACTAGTATATGACACACTTCTCGAATTTCGATAGTCTTATACGAAAATTTGTCAGAAAATTTTAAAATCCATATAAAATGGTCTGCTTTAAAGGAAAAAACAAAAAGTACATACGATTAAGCATGGATAAGAAAACATAAATTTAAAAAAATCTATATAGTATTAAAAATTACAAATTTACAAAATGTCAGATATGATAATTCCTAAAGGATATCAATTATCAATGTCAGGACTAAAAAATTGCATTTTAGAAGCTGATTTAAAAATTCTTTTGTAGTTATCGTTTCATGGCAAAATGATCGTGTAGAGCTGGGTAATCCCGTTCAATCAAAAACCCGTTCAACCCGTAAACTGCATGTGTCTGCGGCAAACCACATAAAGATAAGAAATTCATATGTGCCACCCTTTAACAATTCTCATCTTCGAATTGTTACCAGGTGGGAGACGACACGCTCTGAGGAGCAATAATATATTCAGTAATGCCTCCATTCGACATTACAAAAGATGTAACTTCATAATCAGTGTCAAGAGATTTTAGCAATCTTCCCTGCGACTGTCATCAATGTTTCTCGAATGCAGGGGGCCTAACTAGCCAATGATTTTGCATCACCTCTGATATCGTTATCGACTATAACGAATCAGAGAACGTAAAATACAACCGAAAAATTAGAAAGGTGGGACCAGTTCAGTCTGCAAAATATTACAGACCATCACGGGTAGGCAACCTTTTTGGTCATTAAAGACGCAAAATAAAATTCTAAATTCTTAGCGGGCGCTACCCAATCAAGATTCACAATCGAACATCAAATTACAAACTAGTTTTGTTTAAAAGATATAACTTTATTAAACTAATAACAAATATTTACAATTTATACTCTTTAAATATTTTTTTTTTATATATCAGTGTGAAATTTGTGTTTGTAATTTGTCTGCTAATTTATTATAATCGACAATATAATCTGAGTTGCATGCTCTGAAAGAATTATCCAAGTGCGAATCAGTAAGTTTTAAAAGACGCTTTGACTTCAAGTAAGTCACATTCGAAACCAACGTCTTAGAATTATAGATACTTGAGCAATAAGAATTAATATTTACCAGAAATGACTTTAGGATACTGATTTCTGTTTAATAAGCTCCAAAATATCTTATTAGTTTCATAAGATTTTAAAATAACATTATTTTACAAGCTTACTGTTTCTAAGTTTTCCATATTATTAAGATGAAAACAGTTAAAAATTGCTGTATCTGTGTTTTCTCCATCTTTAATATTAAAAGAATTTATAAATAAATTTAAAATAGGCTCTAAATTCGCAAAATCAACAAATCGAGCATCAAATTCAGTTTGCAATGCAGCCACAATTTGAAGATATGAGTCTATATTAATATCATTCTCTTTCAGACTTTCTGCCATTTTTTTGGTATTGAGGAAATGTGTTAATGATTTTCTTAAGAGACGAGATCTATAAAATTCTAATACTGAATTGAAGTAACCGTTGATCATATTAGTAATGCGATTATTCTTGCCTGGAATTTCAAATTCAGTTCATAAAGTTTCAGTGTTAAATCGGTCAAAAAGCCAAATTTTTTAACCAGTTTTTATCATACAGCTGTTCTTAGGTTTTTCCTTAAAATGTTAGGAACTCTTTTGTTTGGTAATAAATTTCTAAATCGCTCAAGCATGTTTCCCTTGCTCAACTAACGAACCTCTGTGTGCAAAAGATAATCGGTAAATTGTATATCTTCATTATCTTCCAAAAGCAGTTTCAAGAGGCTGCGTTTAACTCCGTTTGTCTTCATTATCTAATTGAATATTTTTATAACAACAACGATTTCATCTTGGAATTCAATGATTTTTGCTCACATTGATTGCTGGTGTATAATGCAGGGATATGTAATAAATTAAAAAAAAAAGGATCTTATTGGCATAAAGCAATAAATCAACTTTTCTTCCATGTCGTGGCTTTCGTACCGTCAGTTGTTATTGAAGATAATTTCTTAGTCGGTATTTTAGCTTCAATCAAAAATGTTTTTATTGAGCAAAATAAAACCCTTCTTCGTATGCGCTCTTTAAGAGGTAGGATTTTTAGAAACTCTTCTTTTACGGTAAAATCGTCAAAGGCCATCTTGACACTTATTACCAATTTTGTTATATCTGGTATATCTTCTGATTCGCCTAGTCGTAAAGGGAAAAATGCACATTTGCTCATATCTTTCATCACTTGGGTTTCTAAATGGCTTGCTATTGTTTCAGTTATCCTTCTAACAGTTCTAGCTGACAATTGTATGGCATTTATGGCCGAAACAATTTCTTTTTAAAGTTTTCAAAACGTACGTCTGCATATTCCAGTAATGCATCTTTTATTATTTCTCCATCCGTATATGTGTTTTTTTTTTTAAAGCAAGAATATGCAAAACCTTAATCGATGCGACTGCTGATGCTTTGATGTTTCCAACGGTTTGGTAAAAGTAGATTGTTGCTTCGAAATGTATGACTTTACTGATAAAATTTTATTTCTTCGAAGTTCAGAGAGTTCAGGATACTCTGAGTCAAACTTCGGTTGCACCGTTTTAAAAAGTCTCTCAAGGGTACTTTCCTCTGGAACTGCTTCATTTTCGTTCCATAATAAGCATCTATATTTGTCTTTATGGTACATAAAACAAAATTGGTGCTCCCATTCTTGATTAAAATTATAAGTGAGGGCACGCTAAGCTTTGTTCATCATGGATTGTTACAGACATCAATTTGTAAGCAAATCTTTAAAAAAACATCCTGGATGATAAGAAAGTACGTAAACGAATCTCACAAGAAAGCAACGATAAAAGACTATATTTCTTGTAATTATTGATTTCACTGCCTGTCTAAATGTCGGAAATTTAGAGTGTGTTTACAAATTAAAATCAAAATTGTCCCACACAGATAAATTACGCAGATGTTTTGTTTTGCTCCTGCTAAGTTTTTCTAAACGCATGTACTGGCGAATGCATCAGAGAGGTTATCGTTAATGCAATCAACCCCGCCACTCCGCGCAGTGTCGCCAGGTCGGTCCGACTTGAATCTGCTCCCCTCGACAATGAAACTTTTCGAGTAGTGGCGATGCAATTAAGTGACTGTTAAATGCATAGATGTAAAAATATGTAATTTTAATATGTATTATGTAAACATAAACCAAAAACTGCAAAACTACACAGAAAGAATAATTTAGGGCGGGCATATTGGGAAAGGCGGCGGGCGCCACTTTGCCGACCCCTGTTCCAGACAGAGCAATACAATCTAATTTTAATACAATCAAAACCTACTATAACGAACTTCAAGGGATCGAAAATTTAGTTTGCTGTATCAGATGGTTCGCTACATCCGATGCGATAAGGAAAAATTTACCATCCCACTAAAATAGTGTAAAAATTACTTGAGAAATAAAACAAAAAGAGAGTTTTAGCTCTGGCAGACCTCTACAAAGAGGTTAAAAGTAACTTAAATTTTAATCAAACATATTAAAAATTAATTACGATTATTATTACGTACAATTATAATTTTTTTTTCGTTTTTTTCCAAAAAACAAAACACACAAAAATTACTTAACATAAAAGACACGTTTTAGATTTGCCTAATTAATTACACATTTCCATCTAAAATACACGTTTACAATTATGATTAAATACCAGTGATAAATAGAATTCTGTCTGACAGCTGAATCAAAGAACTTGAATGAAGCCAAATAATCGTTTCAAGTTCTTTGTCTCAATGGCTTTTTACGGTAGTCATTAACGGTAATCATTAAATCGTTATTATTAGAGTTTTTCGTTATTCTAATATCCTAAACAAGAACAATTTAAGAGTTAGTAATTTTTCAGTTGAAAACTACAAAAATTCTAGAAAATTTTGAAAAATAGGAAGTTTTCTGTTTAAGATACTTACAAAGTTTGTTCTATTCGATTTTTATATCTTTGGATGCTTGCTGTAGCACTATAAATTAACATTAAGTGTATAGGAAATTGGACGACGCCAAAAAGGTTTTTCGTTGTATCCGGAGGTTTGTCATAAGCCGAGTCAGCTATAACAGGGTTTGGCTGTATTTCGACACGTAGATTTTTAGCAGTCTCATTTAATGTTCCCTAACTTTGCAAAGTTGCTAAAAAAAAGCATACAATTTATGAAGAAATATTTAAAAATGATTAATTTCATGCTATCGAATCTGCTAATTTCAGATTGCTGCTATCGTTTTTGCTATCGAATCTGCTAATTCTAAAGTAATGACAAATTACTATGCTTAGAAATTTTTGCAGATGTTTGATTGCAACTCCGGGCTAATTTTCTAACATTAAACTATTTCCATCGGAAATAAATGATTTTTCAAATAATTTTAAGAAATTCTATATGAGTTTAAAGTATTAAAGTATGCATTCAGCGATAATGCTTCCTAGCTTCAAACAAAAAGTACAAAAGGCTGGCGAACTGAAAATAAGCTTATGAAACACTGAGCTCGAATCTTTTAAAGCTGACAACAGAAATTGCCTTAGTTTTTACCAGAGTTAATTAGAACCACTTTATTTTCTTCACAGATCTATTTTATTAAATTTTTTTTATGTCAAAATTCTTCGTATGTGCATTTTCCGAGTGGCTTTCCACTGGAATATTTGGGACTTTCGACTACCACTCAGTTTCAAGAAAATACAAAAAATTCGAATTTTTTAAAGAAATTTTTTAATACTTTTTTTTCTTTTTAACATCTCATAAATAATCATTGGAGCTTAAAATACAAAATTTTTTATAATGAAACCTCGCATTTATATTCCAAAAAATTAAAATAAAAATAATAACTTTTCAAAAGTACTTATACTTTTCCTTCTTTTCCCTAGATTTCCACATTATGCTGAATTTTACAATAACACTTCAGGTATGTGTTTAAGAAATCTTATAGTTTATTATCAAGTTTTCGTTATTTAATCTGAAATTTATGTTTGTGAGCCGAAATATAGAGAAATAGAACGATATAAAAGAATAATCTCTGCTGATAAACATCAATCAATTAAAAAAATTGTTTGAAAAAATTTAAATTTACTTTTGTTATTAATTTATTTACTTTTGTTTTTTATACTTGCATAAATTCTAGTATCCCAGACAGGCTGATAATAGATTCACTTCTTGATGAATTGAAACTAGACCCATATTTGCAACTGAAAAAAATACAAAACGAGAAGAACCGGATTATGGTTGGTTTTCGTACCGACTGTATATAGCTCAGTTGATTGCATAAATGCAGACAATTTAATTTTTTAATATTTCTTTTTTTGGATAAATTGTTCATCTCTCAAAAGAAAAATGAGTGTTAAGAAAACTTAAACTGTCTACATGGGAAAACAATGAAGTACCGTGTGACCCAAGATAAACTGAACCCAAACCAAGTGAAGTCTTCCACGCACCGTTTGGCTTATCTTGGGCCACCCTATATAATACCGCCTTACAATTCGTGTGTTCTTTATTTGCTTTAGATTCAGTTTATCTTGGACCACCATGTAATAATGGAAAGAACGTACATCTATTTCTATTTTCGCCGAGAGAAATTACACGAGTATTCGAAGACCATATAAAAATTCCAGGATATCAAACGGCTCTTTGTTACTGTATAGAGACATTAGGATTTTTTGGAAGCAAGAGAGATGAAAAATTAGCAACCGCCTTCGCCGGGAATCGAACCGCGGACCTCTCAGTTACGCATTGAGTGTGCTTACCACTACACCACAAAGGCTCGCTAAGAAGGTGAAAGAAATACCTTATATACTTCTCCTTTTAAAGGGCGGCTGGAGTTTTTTTAGAGGACCCAATCGCCAAATCCTGGTGAGGAGAATCATCATCCAATACCCTTTTAGTTCGGGCGCCAGTGTAGAGACATTAGGTATTTTTGGAAGCAGGCAAGATGAAAAATAAGCAAGCGCTTTCTCCGAGAATCGAACCACGGACCTCTGGAATAACGGCGCAGCGTGCAGACCACCACACCAGGAAAGTACGCCAAGAAGGTGGGAGAAATACCTTATAACTGCACTAGATGTTTGGGAGATAATGAGAGAGAAAATTCATTTTCAGGTTTTCGATTTTATTTTGATTTAGGTATCAAAAATCTGAAAAATATTTCCCAAGGAATTAATTGGAAAATGTATTGTAGTTTAATTAAATGTTTACATACTGGCCCTTCAAATATTTTAGGTAATCTGCAAATTTTGCTTAAATATTTTCACGTTGTATATCACTATGAATTGTGCAATTTAAAAAATGTTGTTTTTATTTGACAAATAGAAAGTCCTCCACGAAGACATTCCTCCCCTTAGGCAGATAGCCTTGGTGTGCTTTGCCATAATTAAATACCCCACCACCTTTATTTGACAAATGAGTTTTAATTTTTTTTTTTTTTTTTTTTTTTTTTTTTTTTTTGTCCCTGTCCGAAAATTTTTCTACGACTTTTCAACTTTAAGTGGTGTTTTAACACCAGTGACTTAATATATAAAATATCATGGTCTATATTTTCGAAACCTTCTGGGAAATAATTGAAATCTTCACATAAGGAAATTTTGTACTGATATTTATTTCTAATTCTTTTAAAATTATCTTTTAAAAATCCTTTTTTTTTAAATGAATAAACTTGAACATTGGATGAGTATTGATGCAAGAAAGAATGCAAGACTAAATACTCTTAAACACTTAACTGTAGACATTTTAGCTCTAGTTTAAAAAAGATGACAAAATAAATTACACTGCCCAATTGTAGGATTTTACGTTAATTAGCCAATTATTATGATTTAAAATTTTACTATAGCGCCCATTTCTGCAGTTCTCCCCAGAATGCAGAGTATTAAATACTTGCAGAGTATTTAAGCCAAAGTTTTGAATATTTTATAGCGAGAACTTTTGGAAACTTCGCTTGCAGTTTACGTCCTATCGTCAACTCTGTCAAAGTTTATTCCAGGTTTAGCCAGTTTGCTTGCCGACGTTGAAAGACCGCCGACTTACTTGGACAAACTTAAGTAGACTACTTTGTGTTTTCATTGGAATTCAGATTTAAGTAACGTAGTAGAAGAAATACGTCATTTAAATTTGAATTTCAGCATACGTTATTTTAAAAGCCCGCGAGTGACGGAATTTCATTCAGTAACACAAGTAGGGTGTTCTGTAAAACTTCAGGAATTAATGACAAGGTTATTTTAACTTTCCTGAAGACTTTATCATTTTGTTTCAGACTAAAGCGATAACTCGCTCGTCAGTCTGATAGGTCCTAAAGGACTTTGATTTAAGCTTAAATACAACCAGAACCCTATGCAATTATAAACTATTTTAAAGTTTTTTTAAAAAAAAATAAGTGGTTAAATGATATTTAAATTTCTAAATGTACTGTCTACGAAGAAATTAGCAATTTATAAGCTGTATTTTATCTTACTGGAGAAAAAAAGCTCCTCACGTATACTATGTTAAATTGCTGTACTTTAGACAATTTTGTTTTCAGAATCAGCTAGCTGGCTAAATTTAAATTGAACAAAACTGTCAAAAACTTTATGATTTAACAAATTTTCATACGATAATACAGGAGCTTTCGTACAAATCTAAATCTTTTAAATATAAATTTTCGAATGTTAGCATTTTTTACAGAATGCTATTTGAAACCAAAGCTTCTAAACGTTTTTCTAACGGAAAAAAGAGAAAATATTTTAACGGAAAAAAGAGAAAATATTTGTATCTGTCCCCAAATTTGAATTTATGTTATCTCTGTTAATTTTTATCATATGAGCATGAAATACTTTTGTTCGATTAATTTGACTATGGGAAATAGTTTCATCTATGATATTTTCCCCTGTGAGACTCGAATGAAATTAAAATTCGTAGGTTAGGTGTCATGCGACCTTAATTATTGTAGTCTGGAATTCCTTTTGATTAATTTTTTTAATTGGAACCATGTTTCTACGACTAACCCTTCAACAGACATGAATATTTTTTAAAAAATTACAGATGATTTTTATGGAATTTTGTTGATACTGTATAAGAACTACTAGTTAAAAATGAATGAAACTAACTGAACGAACTCGATTCTGGAATTTCAATAAATTTATTTTGCATTTGCGAAAGCATTTTTAACGCTTCCTTCTGTTAGTAAAATATAATGATATTTAGTGTTTGTAATTTTGCTTGGTATTTAATTGGTATTTTGAAACTGTTTGGAACTATTGAGTGTACTAAATTCTGTAATTCTAATAAATTTATTTCGTATTTAAGAAAGCATTAGCCAGGTTTCTTTCTATTAGTAAAAAGGAATGACATTTTCTGTTAGAGATTTTGTTAATTATACGATTTTATAATTATATAAGTGTATAAAAATTAAGCAACAATTTAAAAATTATTTTTCACACTTTATAACAGAAATTTGTCCTTCACTTAGCTTGTACAGTCATTAGGTGTTTTGATACTGGAATCATGAAAAATGAGCAATGTCCTCGCCGGGACTCGAATCTGGACCTCTCGAATACGCGCCGAGTGTGCGACCGTTACACCATGAAGACATGCGGAAAGGAGGGAGAAAACACCTTATAAGCTAAAGTATGGTCTCAAACCGAAGGAATATCTTCCTCTAAAAAATCGCTTTTACTTATAGAGAATATTACGTAATTAATCAACTACTGTTGATCGAAGTTGTCAGAATCCACTGACGTATGCAGGTCCTATTTATATCACTGATTAAAAAACAGGAACTAAATTCATTTACCTTTTATGATGCATCGTTGAATCTGATGTGATGTTTCAGCTGGCAATCTTATTTACAGAAAAACCACAATTCTATTTCTTGACATCACATTTTATTTACATAAAACATTCAAAAGGAAACAATTAATATTTACATACATTTTCTTGTACAGCCTCTCTTTTTTCTTACGGCTGTACAAAACAATTTATCCGTCCATCACACGGATTCGAAACCGAACTATCTACTGTTTACAAAAAAGAATAATAATAATAATAATAATAATAATAAAAAGTTTTAATTTTTCTCACTAATGGAAACTCTGGCGCCCTCTAGCGAGGGAACGACACTTTAGATGAACATTTAATAGAGAGTCTAAAATATGGAAGGGGAAAAATGGTATGTTCAGATTCTCCTTCTGTGGTCACTGACATAAATATTATGTTCTTGCTCTTTACAGGTATTGAGAATCCTTCATATGGGACGGCGTGTAATTCTGATCTACCGGCATCACACAACGCTGAAAATATTTATGAAGAGATTGAAATGAAAATTAGAGAAGTTCCGAATTCGAAAGGCATTTTTGAAGACCCAGGTTCTGAAAATGGTAATGAAATGAAGAAACGTAACATTATATTTTATTAATTACATTAAAAGAGATTCAGTGCAGTAACAGTTTTTTTATTTAAAGTCGTATCATATTGATGCCACGTGATCTCTAAAGACATTTATGCATTTTTGTTAAATTATAATGCGATGTACTGAACCTGAAGATGTACAAACGTAGCTTTCCTGACATGTAAATTTAAATATCTGGTTTTGTACTAATAGAAAAAGAATCGCTGAAAAAAATGAAAGAAAACCTGAAAGGATTCAGATTTTAACGCCGCGCCAAACGATTTTTTAAGATTTTTATCCTCTCGTTGAGCATCGCAAGTAATCAGTTTGCTCTTGGGCTCACTCTTGCTAACACTTTTTTTGTTTCATTATTAAGCATCCCCTTTTCACACTGACGCCACATGCAATTCAACAACAAAATCACAACATTTCTAAACGCAGCGTAGAACATATGTTTAGAATTTCCCGATACAGTGTAACATGTCCGCATGCATTTTTCTGTTCTTTTTCTGTCTTTTCTCAGCTCATCGTATCGAGGTTAAATTTTTCTTAGTATGGTGACTTACGAAACTTGTTTTTGTCTTTTTATTATTACGTTTAATTTCATTATGCACATTTATTTCATTAAATATCACTTTCTTCGCACATAAAATTGAATAGCAAAATCACAGAACATTTAAAAACGTGACATTTTTAAAATTCCCAATAGAAGATGCCATGCATTTTTTTTATACTCGCTATATTATTTCTTTGAAAATTAGACGCTCGAACGACCAGCCGCCGATAAGAGTTATCGTGAAAAAGAAGTATTTAATAATTTGAATGAGTTCATGTCATTTCATAAAAATGTCAATGTCATTTCATAAAAAATATATGACATTTCTATTTAGACATCGTATGATTTAAATACACTTTTATTTAAATTCCATCAGATTAAAAATAGAAAAAATATTTTGAAGAAACTCATGTATTGTTTTTCAATCATTTGGGTTTTTACTCAATAACAGTAAGAATAAATTTCAGATTTATTATCTTACGCTTTACTGAATAGCAACACGCTGGTGCCTGGAGATAATATGCATTCTATTTGGGACATGCGACGGAGGACGTGGGCATTACCCCTCTACCAATACGGTTAATTGGTAGAGCGCCACGTCCACCTTTATCTAGATAACCTTTATCTGGATAATACATTTAGACAAACATACATACAGATTTGGTACTTAATACAGTATTCAAGATAATTAATGTTAGACACTAATACATTACCATTTTACAAGGTGTATGCAAAAGCATGGATACGATAGAAGCTGCCATAAGTTTGCAATCAGTTTAAGACCAGGAGAGTTTCAAACCTATCCGAATAAACGAATACCATTGTCATTTAGGTAATTTATTGCTTTCAAAATTGTGGGATATAGTGCTTAAGTTTGCATTAAAAATAATTTTCTTCATTGGCAAACTATTGTTGTGACTGAGATATTAATTTGGTCATTAAATCTATCCTAAACTGGTATTCTTTCATTATCTCTTGTACCTCATAAAGATGCCACAACCTCTAAACATTTCTCCTGTTTTAATGGTGAAATAATAAGTTATATATTTTATCTGAAAGTCGTCTTACATATTGCATTTCGTTCATCATGATTTACATTGAGTTGTTATCATGGAAATAAGCTTAGGGAGTTTAAAACTTATCATTAGCAAATTCTAGTCTGTTTCTCGTTATTCTTTCCGTTAATTTCGATTTATTCACTGACCCATTAATTTCATTATCCAGTTCTTTAGTGCACCGACTTCGGGAAAAATATTCCACTTCACATACACTTCACGTGATGTCCAACTTTGGATTAGTTGTGGGTGAAAGAATCGCAGTACCCTTTATGATCATATACTGATACTTATATTGTGACTTAATTCAAAATTCTTCAGCAAACCTCTGAACTTTCGTAAAGAAAGACTGCTCCAAAGAATTTGACGATACAGTCCTACCATTTAAACATTTTACAACTCACTTTCGCAAGGAACAGCTCCTCAATTATTAATTTACTCATTCTGACTACTATCATCACAGATCTACCATGTTCCTTTCCTCCTCTGACGTGTCTTCTGTACTATACCAGAAGTATACATCTGGATCCTTTCTTTTCTCTTTCCACCTGTCGATTCCTTTTGTGGGTTCCTCTGACGTACTCCTCATATGATGTTCAGCTTTGGATTAAAGTAGGCGCACCGCGGTATCAAATTTTGTTTCTCAGTAAATATCATAGTAGACAGGGAAATAGTCCAGTAGTCAACAAAACGAATTATCTTGGTGTCTGATTTAACTCGAGCTTCACTTGAAACACGCATATAGCAAATTTTATTCGAAAAGTCACAAGCAATGTTTCAACTACGCTTAGCAAGAAGATTGTTAATTATGCTATCAATCTGAAAGACATGGATTGTGACGCCACTTCAGTGATCGAGATCAGTGGTGGAGTTGTTTATTGTACACAATCTATATTGTATTTTCTGATTTATGTACTGGTAGTTTTATCATCAAAATATTTCTAAAAATGTGTAAACATCCTCTGTATTAACATTAATAAAAACGATAATTTATGATAAAACTAAAAGAAGTTTCCTAAGGAAAGCACTAGAATATGAAGAATTTATATTTCTTACTTTAGAAGTTCTAAATACGAATCATTAAGTGTGCTTAATTCAATAGCGATTTAAGAATTATCCATTTGATACGATAAAAATGTATCTTGTCAAACTGCAACAAATTTAGTTTAGCTGCTTTTATGGAACAGGTTTAGTTTATCAAATTTAGTTTGGGATAATAATATGTATTAGTAATTTAAAATACTCATAATTTATTAAATATTATTTATCCCCCCCCCCCAGATGTTCTTTCTCAAAATGCATGGAATATTTTTCTAAAACTGATGCTAAAAGACTGAGTCGTGCACAGTTTCAAGTTTTGGCATATTGTTCTTTCACATGTAATTAAAACATCGCTGTGAACAAAAGCGCTTTCAGTATGGTGAAAAAACGGAGCCAAGAGGTAGATTGTATGTTTGAAAAGGATACTTCATTTTTTGTTGTAATTTTTATCTGCGTTTTAATTAAAGGACTATATTTTTAAATATAATTTATTTTTTCTTTTTCTTAACGCTTTCTGTATGTTTAGGTAGACAAAAGATTATTCTAGAAAATCCATTCAAATAAATCCATTAATATGGAAGAAGCATATTACATTTCTTTTTATTAAATGTGAAAAATATTTCAGTGGTCTTCATCAAACTGCCAAAAATATTTTGGAGTGATCTATTAAATTAAGAAATTAATATACAAGCAATGTATTGGGACTTTCATTTCTTATGGTTGTTGTACTTTGGAACATGTATTTATGATGATTAACAAAAGGAATCTGACAAGTAAACCTTCTCTCCTTTGATATCTGTTTCCTGGAAACTCATATATTTTCTGAAAGCTTATGTTACAAGTAGAAAAGCTGTGAAATCTTAGGGGCAGAGGGACAAGCGTTTAGGAGCTATAGGGCCCATAAAGTATCAGAAAAGTGTTGGAAAAATGACACCAAAAGTCGCTAAAAGGCTCATTTTACGTATTTATATCAACTAATAATATGGTTAGAGGGTGAGAATCTCAATAATAAAAGAAGAAACAACTCGTTGAAAAGAAACATTATACGTTGGGATGTTGAAAATGTGACTTGTTATTGACTTCAAACAAAATCTGTTACAAAAGACAACTAATGTGCAATTCACCAAATAAACAGTGAGACGGGCAGAAAGACATTTCACAATGGGCAGATTTTACAAAAGCGATAGCCTCACACTTTGTACACTCATCATTTGTCAATGAATCGAAGCACTAATCCATTCGCTCAATCCACATTCCAGGTTCATCGTTCAAGTATTTGCTCTTATAAAAAGCATACTTAATTAAGTTTTTAAAACGGAGGAGTGCTGAATTGATACAGTGAAAAGGACTGCAGGGCCAGAAAACTATCGCGATGCCAAATGTGCTCCTGTGTCTCGATAATGATTGTGTCCGTTATGTAACGAACAAACGATTTATAGTTTCCGAAAAAATGAATATCCAGAGGCTGGATCTTTTCCGTAAAATCCTTCAGGTACCAGTTCCTTTTGCAGAACTTTACCATCAAGTACTTCGGAAGCAGACAATGCATGAACATACAAGAAATAAAGAAGTCATTACAGAAATATGTCCATCTATACACACTTCAATGATACTTTGTGGGTTCTATAGCTTTTAAACGCTTGTCCCTATGCCCCCAAGACTTCACAGATTTTCTATTTGTGATATAAGCTTTCAGAAAATATATGGGTTTCCTGAAAACTGGTATTAAAGGAGAGAAGGTTTACCTGTGAGAATTACTTATGATTTTTATTCGATTATTAGTGGTGATAAGAAGGAAACTTAGTTATGAGGCTTTTCTTCTTATAGAAGTTCCAGCTATTGATTTAGAAATTGAATGTAGAAATAATGTTTTCAGTGTAGTGTCAAGTAAAGAAAAATCTGCCGAAATGGAAATTTATGCTTCTGTGATGTTTCTTATCTAGCTTGTTTCAAACTTGCAAATTTCTGTGATTATGAAGAGAAAGCTGAAACATATTTTCACATGGTTTGTTTTACAAATGGCAGTAAAACGAATAATAAAATTGGCTTGTCATTTTTGCTTTTTGAAGATGAATCTGACGTTCGCTATTTTAAGCACCATATTCCATATGAATACAAAATATTTCAGACAGAATTTCTCTGTATTATCATTAGGTTTAGTTGATCAAGAAGGATGGGACTTCACCTTGAAAGTTTTATCTGTCCTGATTGATTTTCTTTTCATTCTGCGTCTTTTAAGCGGTATTATGAACAAAAGCAAACTGGCAACTGAAATTCTGTTAGATGTCAATTCACTTACAGATCGATATTTGTGGAAAGGTATATTTGCTTTGCTTATGTCTGTGATCATCACTATATATTTAAGAAAATGAAAGAGATGAATTTTTAAAGCTAAAGATACTTTAAATTTACCCACTTGCATTGATATTGTTTTCCCAAAGTGTTACTGGAAATAAGTTTTTGGAAAAGTTTTTATCTAAATATAATGAAGAATATTTTTTACCTTATAATGCTGGGCACATCAAAAAATTCTTTTTTTTTTTTTTTTTTTTCAGTTAATCAACGATGGAACTATTTGGTCGTGGTAAACTTGCAAATTCATCTGTTACGTTTCAATATGAGATCAATTAACTTGTACAACTGTTCAAAAAATACGCCAAGATGTGAGACATTTAATGTTTTCTTATTTTATTTTTGGCGGCGCTAGATTATCTTCACAGAAAAAAAACCAAATGAAATCATCTTTTTTTACGAAGTCTAGAATGCTGCTCTCGGTTTTTTGCTTGTTTTATTAATGCATGCAATGCTTAATTAACTCAAATAAAAAATTCAGTAGATCTGTTACCGCTAAAGCTCGAGAGTCGTTAATGCGTACTATGCAGACTAATTGATTTGCTACGTTAAAGTTCGGAATCAAAAGATTTTCGCATTTTACCTAGGTATTGTGTACATTAACGGCTTCCGTATCATTAAAGTTCTTAATTTGTTTCTCTCATTTCCTTTTCCTCTCCATCCTTGAATAGATTAGTTTAGATATCGAAAAATAAATAAATAATAATATGTTTACTTCCTTAATTGTAATAATATTTTAAACCGTTTTATTCTTTGTACAGCGTAGGCCAAATAAGACCTATTAACGTTAAACACGTGTAACTCTTGTAATAATCATTTATTTTGATTAATTTTTTTATACATTAAATATATTTTATGGAAATTATGTATGAAATATGACATCAGACAAATGTCCACCATTTTTCTCGATACAGAAATTGGTTCTTTTTAACGTGTTTTCCATTGCATCACATAATGTTTCTGGTTGAAGGCTCAGTATTTCATCTCGAATATTCTGTTTCAATTGTCTAATAGTCTCTGGTTTATTAACATACACTTTGTCTTTTAAATATCCCCATAAAAAAAGGATTCTGCTCCGCCATTGGCCGCAAAAAGTTTTCAATCGTTGTTCTGTAAAAAGCTCCGGAAATCGTTTCTGGCGTTCCATCCTCATTCTCGAATAAATATGAGCCGAGAACTCTATTGGCCATAACACCGCACCAAACAGTACACTTGAATTAAAATATTGCCGATATTTATGCTGCATCATAACAATTGATCGTTGACAAGAATAGAAAAACTCGATAATTTTAACGCCGTTGTTTTGTACTGTATGGTTCCATAATAAATTTCCAAGAATTCAATTAAAACCTACAAAAAGAAAAAAAAATAATTATATCAAAAAATAAAAACGTTATTTGTGTTTAACATTGGTAGGGCTTATTTGGCTCACACTGTATTATAGTGTTCTAATTGAGTAATTCTATCAACTAATTTGTTATCGACTTTTGTTATTTGTTTGTTTGATTATTGAAAAATTAATAAAAAACATTATGTTAATTTAAGAGTATAGAAACATTGCTGTTCCAGAAAAGATCTTGTTTTCACTTTAACCAGTGCCCAATAGGTAATGGACAGATTATCTAGATAATTTGTAGATTATCTAGGTTATTTGAGAAATGGAACAATTTTCCGTGCGTTAAAGGATCACACTATTTTAATCTGCAGAATAACTGATTTCCACACTTTAGAGGTAACAGATTTATTTTTGCTTCTGTGGGTTTGGAGTTTAATCTGTGGTTTTAGTTCCTTTAATTTCACTTGCATTTCAAGTTTGTAAAAACTTCAATATATCTAAAAACGTTTTCTACGGGCTAAACTAATATCTAAAAACGCTTTCAACGGAAAGGATGTTTTTTTCGTTTTATTTGGTAAAACATCCAAATTTTGCACACAATTTTGACCAATAGCTTAATAGTTTTAAATATGAATTTTGAAAATGAAAGCTATGAATGCTAAAAACTTAATTTTAACCATTTCTTCTTATTATTTACAGATCATATAAAGTGGACCTTTAATGCAACAGAAGCAGACTTAAAAGCAGAAATATCTAGTGAACTGAAAACACAAAATGTTGCAGAAAAAACTGACATCTATGAAAATGATATGACATCCCAAGGAAAAGGATCTCAGTCTGTGCCTAGTAAAATAAGCATGCATGTAAATGAAGGAGACGGAGACTTAAAGTCAGATGAAACTTCATTCGAAATGTATGATATCCCCCGCAAACTGAACACAAGTATTTATGAAAACTGTTGAAGATTTGCGAGTGGATACAGATGAAGGGAAAATAAGAACTGAGAAACTGATCCAAATTTATCCGTGTTTCAAAGGAATAATAATTCAAAAATTTCGATTGAAATAACATATATTGATGAAGTTAGATTAAAACTCTTTATTGCTTTTCTAGGTTGAGAAATCCTAACGCGTATTTAAAATCTGATTTCCTTAAAATGCAAGCATAGCATGGTGTAAGCAAAGGTGCGAGATTTTTGTTCGGTATTAATGTAAGACATCTTAGATTTGTCATAAATAAAATTTTACATTTCACTAAAATTTTACTATTACTATAGTAATAGTTTATAAATAAAACTTTACTATTAATTCATTAATACATGAATTCTGTCTTGATAACTACTGGTCTCAATATAAGGTAAATAAATAAAAAAAATCTGAAAGGTTTCAGATATTAAATTACGTCCAAAGAGGCTCTTTTTTAATATTTTGTATGTTACCTTTATTTAATAAATATCATGCTCTTCGCACTTAAACCATAAAATTCAGTTCAAGAGCAATATCGCAAAATAATTTTGAATTGAGCAAATGTTTGTAGGGTTTATATTTATTTTAACTAACATTTATTTTAAGCTATCTTTCCTGTCAAGCCTTTACTTTCCCCTAGAATTGCCAATGCCAGAGTATGTAAAGTAGTAGAACGCGCAGAGTATTCAAATTTTAGCAGAAGTAAATTGAGTTTAAATAGAAGGGAAACGAGATTGTAAGTGTGCTTCTTGAATCGCGAGCGTTAAGGTTGCTAGGTAGAAATTTTAAGAACCGCGCGTTTCGGCCTGTGTGCCTATTTCGGCAGTTCGTTGAATCTTTCAACTTCTTAATCAGTAAGTTTGCTGAATCTCAGCTGTATCTTAGAACGCGGTTAAGTTAGTTACGATTATAGAGCCTCGTAGGTAGTGACTTGTTATTTATTCATCCTGTCATTTATTTTTAGTTGCATTGCACTTTTTCTATTTTGTTACAACAACGCCGGGTCGGCGTAGTTTTGTGAGCGTCAAGTGAACGCAGCTGTGATTTCTAAAGTGAAATAAAAAGGGGTTTAAACCCTTCTTACGAGTTTGTGTAATTTACAGTTCATAGCAGTCACTACTATTGTTGCTGACAAGTTGGAGCCACGCAACATCATAGGTTATTTAATTACGGCAAAGCCTCGAGGGCTATCTGCCTAAGGGGACGGATGCCTTCGTGGAGGACTTTGTAAGGAAAACTGGCTCGTATACACGTTACACATGGGGAAAACCACGAAAACACCCATGCAACCAGCCCGTTCGCGGGATTCGAACCTCGGACCGAACTACCAGTGTTCAGCGACTTTACCGCTCGGCCGCTGGTGGGCCCCATACTAACAAGATTGGAAGTTTTTACCGTTGACCAAATTTCATTGATCTTCCAAAATTAAGAACTCCATTGCCCATAAGTATAAGTAAAACATGTTATTTTTTCAAAGTTTTTCTATGCAAAAAAAAAAAAAAAAAAAAAAAAAAAAAAAAAAAAAAAAAAAAAAAAAAAATTAATGGTATAATACATGATAATACCTTCTATGCTTAAATTTAATAGTTATTTATAAACTGCAAGCAGAATGTTGACTATTTATGAAGCTTAGTTACTGAGAATAACGAAGAAAATGGATGAATTTGGCTCGTTTAATTAAATGTGCTAGAAAAATAGCTTAAATTAATTTTCTACAGAATATGTCTAAGGCTCCGGCGGCCTCTCTACCCTATATAGCCCAAATTGATGTAAGTTAATTTATTTTTATGAAAACCGTTTGTATCAGTAAGGAAAATATAATATTTTTAAAACGAATATTTGCAGCACCATTATTGGTTTCTTAAACATATTCCTAGCGCCAAATATTACGTATTTTTAGATTCTTAGCGAGATATATACAAATGTATAGGTAACTCTGAAATTTTTCAGACAGGGGCAGACAATATGCGTTAAAAAATATTATTTGTCAGATTTGTAAATTTGAATTTTTTATGTTTACAGACGATAATTTGTGGAAATAAGTGGAATTTATCTATCTTGGAATAAATTTTGAAAGAAGAGAAAGTATAGCTGACACGAGAGTATTAGCATATTATGATTTTCTATGGATAAATCAAAAAGAATGCCTTCAAGCGTTTATCTTGTGCTTAGATAGGAAGCTCTATCTTGTGCCAGTGTATACACATGGTTTACAGAATTTCATAGAGGACAAAATTCTCTTATGGATGAAAAATACACACAGGACGTCTTTTGTAGATATAGTCTTAAGAAATGTGTTGGCTATACTGAAAATGTTAATCAGTTATAACAGCTGTACCTACTAAATGATACAAAAAGAACTTCACAGCTACAGGTAAAATTATTCATGAAGAACTGGATATGAAAAAACTGGTTTATCTTTGGATACCCCATATAAATTAAAAGAACACCAAACACCGAAGTGTGTCAGAATCAGTAATAAAACCCTAAAATTGTTTAATGATAGTGGGATACTGAATTATTTCTAAAATCATAATTGGTGATGAAACGTACGTACCGTGTTTTGAAGTTCCAAGAGATCAAGAAAAAAGTATGCTTTTCTAAAGGCCTGTAACCAACAATGGTGAAAAGTCAACTAGCAATGTAAAATGTAATGTATGTCCTTTCTCTTCAGAAGTGGACGTCTGGTCAAACCTTAGTGAGAGGGAAGACAGTCATAGATAAATGATACGCCACTGAGCTTTTTTTAGAAATTCTTCAAGAAGTGATTATTGCAGCACTCTTGCTTCACCATAATAAATGCGTTTGCTCATTCAACAAAACTGACAGCCGAATTTCTTGAGCAAAAACACATAGCAAGGGATAGAACATCCACTTTGTAATCCTTATTTTGCTATGTGGGATGTTTGGCTGTTTTTTAATTCAAAATAAAATTTACTTGGCAGTTCTTTGGATTCCGAATGATGAAGGTGTAAAAGCATATTTTGAATCGATTCCAAGAAATAAATAGTTAGAAGCATTGAAAAAATTCGCCTGGATTGATGCTCTAGGGATCTGTTTTGAATACAACTAATATCTGGTAAGTTTAACTTATACAATTTATTTGTATCTTAAAATTTTTCGAGTGATCTTCGCATCAACACATATAAGCTTTGTTTTGCATAAACATATATATTTAAAAAGTAATTATTTTGCCTATCTATTACTACAACGTTGCAATTAGAATTTGATTAGAAATTTAACATTTTTTCCGTTTTAAAATTAAAATTATCCACCCTAGATTGCTTTCAAAACTTTTCCTGTTCTTTAAGTGAATTAAAAAAGTTGCCGACTCCTGATGTACAGTCTATTGCCTGCATTTCGTACAGAAATATGGGAAGATGTGTTAGCTTTTTCTCAACAAGTGATAAAAAAGAAAAAGATTCCTTCTTAAGAATGCTCACAAATATTTATTCTTTACTGAGATGCCTAATTTAGGATACGAAGTATATTTTATTAATTACACTAACAGTACAAACGTTTATGAAAGTTATCTATTATATATGTGGTCGGGGAGTCGAAGATGCTATCCTAGGGTAAATAACAATTTTACACGTCTTCTACACCACAGACATTTAATGAAAATAACAGAAAAGGTACATATTGAATCAAATCACAGTGCCGTTGGATACAAACAACGTTCTGCATAACTTTTACATATTTTAAATAGCTGCTTGGCGCCTACTCGCGCTCGCTATCATATGCAATTCAGTTACCACCTTCGCGTGGGATCAACGGCTTACCACCTTCGCGTGGAAGCGACATCTGTGTGACATCCTCCTCTTTCCTCTCGCTGCATGCCATGGACCTTATAAATTCCATGCTGCAGGCGCGTAGGGTGATGTCCTCTGGTGGCTGTGTAGTACTGTTATCACACCTTCGGCGATCCTGACTCTGTTATCTCTCTCAAAACACGGATCAGCGACACTGGTACATCAAGACAACACCTCAAAATAAATTTAAAAAAAAAAAAAAAACTGAAATGTTTCAGATTTTAAATTACGTCCAAAGGGGCGTTTTTTTAACGTTTTGAGTGTTACCTTTATTAATTAAATATCATGTTCTTTGCACTTAAACCATAAAATTCAGTTCAAGAGAAATATCGCAAAATAATGTTAAATTAAGCATATCTTTAGAATTTCCGATATACACAGTCTCGCGAGCTGGAGATAAAAGTATTTTTTTTTCTATATAACGTTGCCATTTCTCGCTTTTAAAGCATTGAGTTTATAAATCAAAAATTCGTTAAAGTTTTTACAAAATATAAAATCTATAATAAAACAAATTCCAAATTTGGGATTTCAGATGCCCATATTCACAGTAGGATTTCGTCATTCAAAATTCGATGGCTCTATGTACCATTGTTTTATCACAATGCGAGAAATAGACAATCATTTATGCAGATTTTTCATTATTTAATTTCTTCAAATATAATGCAGGACTCTAACATTTTGTGGCAACAGTTTGAAAAGTGAACCGACGTTTATGAGTCCGACGCAAAATCGCAAACGAAAACAATAGTCCTTCAGGGACAAAGCCCCTTTGGACCTAAAAAAAAAAAAAAAAAAAAAAAAAAAAAAAAAAAAAAGATAGAAGTGTGGAAGGACCACAAACAGTCCTAAACAGGAACCACCTTCAGCTACCACGGAACAGAGATTGTAAGCGTTTTAACACTTTTTAGTAAACTTTCAAGTTTTAAAAGTTTAAAAGCGTTGTTAGATCCAACTATCATTAATGAGACCCGAATTTACCAAGTAAATTAATACCTGAATTACATAAAAAGAAAAAATCTAAAAAATTAAGACATTGATGTGAAAGAAGAAATTAAAAGTAAGATGCTAAAATATCGATTGGAAAAAGAAAGTAAACAAGGGAAGCAATCGTGTAACAAATTAAACAATTATGCAAAAAAACTTTTTAATCACTCCTATATATATATATATGTATATGTATAAATTATGTGAATTAAAATACATTTTAGTTTGAAAAAACTACAGCTTTTAAAAAAATAAGTGATTTGAAAATCAGTATGACATTTAAATGGTTTCGTAGCGGGTATAGAATATATGGCGTTCGAAAAATCTTTTATTAAATAAAATACTGCAGCAGATACTAATGTAAATTATCTATCACTGGAATATGTAATAAATAGCATGTATTTAAAGTTGAATCATTTAGGCACTTTATTAAATCTGAATTACATTGGAGATGATAATCTAGGGCGTTGATCATCGGTTATCTGTAGCTTGTGTACAATGTAAAGCTTAAATAATATGTATAGTATTTTAAATTAAAAATAAACCAAAGAACTTTATTGGC